GCAAACTATTTAATTTTAGTTGTATTTAATATACACTCTCAGTTTGAAACCTTTATCTATATTTATCTAACAAATATTCAATCTAGAAAGAAAAGATACAAGTCTTACTTTTAATATTTAAAAAATGTTACATCAAACACCTGAAAGTATTTTAAACTGAAAGCGAAGATTGAGAAAACAAAAGATGAAATAATTTAATTTGTTGGAAATTACTATATAAAATTATAATGAAAAGTAAAGTACTCTCATTTTCAAATATCAATTTTGGTCAAGATTCAAGTCTTCCAATACAAGCATAAATTAAGTCAGACAAAACAGTTCAGAAATAAATGGTAACAATATGTGAATGAAATTAATGGAAAGCACTATTTTCCGCCCATCATTTGCCTTAATATCCTATTGGACAGTCTGATACAGCCAAATACAAGTCCAATGGGAATGTTGTCTAATTTTATGCATATCACAGACTCCTAATATGCTTCTTCCCAAGTCTGGCTAGAAACTGGTATAAAAACAGAAAAAAAACGTATTTAATCACATAAAATATTCAATAATTGTCCAAGCAAGCAGTTTATGTTAAAAAAATCTAGTATACATTGCTCATAAAATGATTCATAAGATGGTGTTGACAAATGATTTAATACTACAGTAGTAGCCACTATCAAAAACATGCATGGCTATTTTCTTATCAAAGAATTTCTTATGTTTTTCACTGAAAAAGCAATTAATGACACATTGTAGTATGTGAATGACCTCCAGAATAAATAGACATAACCTTGAATATAGAAATGTAGTAATATACAAAACAGTTGAGAAGATTTCAAAAATATGTATTAGAGGTTACTAAATGAACAAGCTAATCTTGTTAAATGATTAAATTTGTTTTTACCTTTAATATTTTTTCATATCATAGTTAAAACTTTAAACATTCTTACACAATAACTGCAGTTTGTTATTGAAAATTCACTTTTAAAAACTTGTATGGCAGTATGGAATACATACAAACATATAATATTTAATTTTAAGTAGTAAATTTTAAATTTTAAACTTGATTTGAATTTGTAGTAGTTGCAACTTGTGTTTGAATATAAAACTGATTTCAACTTGTATTCAGTAATTGAAAGATAATTTACATTGGATCTTAGTTTCATACTGATAAAACTAAACGACGATTTTAAGCCAGGTATTTTACTGAAGGGGTGTTTGACAAAAAAATTTGATCATAGGTTAAAGATACAGATTTTTTTATTTTTAAAAACTGTGATAAAAAGGTCCCCCAGCTCCTCTGGAGTCTGGCTTTAAATTCCTTACTTTGCATGGACTATCGAAACTGAGCTTAGGAAAAATATCTACTGTATAAATTCCAATTCTATATATAGAATATTTATATTCTCCATCGGAAATAATTGTAAAAGCTTACAAGTTTTACAAAGTGCAGTCACTTTGAGAAATTTATCTTGAACTAAGTAACATACATTTTGATCATCTCGCCATTTGTTAACAATTACTGTACCTCAATTTATGTGAAACCCATGTCGACGAGGAGAATAATCGCTTACCTACCGCCATCTAACAAATCAGCAATTAAGTCTTTTAAATTCAAAATGACAAGGATGGCAATTTTGATAAATCAGGTGGAATCCAGTACTTATTTTCATACAATTGTAGCTAAAACTGTCATCAGTTATATCAAGGCTCAGGAAGGAAACATCCAAATGAAACTAATAAGGCTCTAGGTGGGGGTCACCTATACAGTGCCTTGACATATATTGCCAGACTTTGACTAGTCAGAAATCGGTTATTTTCTGTTCTTCAAGGGAACACTTGGAAAGTATTGTGATGTGGTTTTTTGGTAGGAAGGCAAACATCCTGGAGTTAAATCGAAACATAGATCACAAGGAGAAACTTGCAGAAAACTTGGCAAAAATAAGGATATCACCAACCAAAAAAGTTGGAAATATAAGTTTAAAAAACCTCAAGCTAAAATCATATTGTTTGAATTTACTGTAACAGTCAACAAATGAATGAATCAATCAATCAATCTATCAAAATCAATTTTTTTTCTAATGAATTTGATACTACTGAGAATAATACTACCAATTAGGCCTAATAATTTCAATGTGTGCTAAATTAATGGAGATAGTATATTTCATATTATAAACATTAATTAATTAATTAATTACAGTCATTATTATAATGTATTTATGTACATTTGTAATTAACGTTTTCTTTAATAATTTGCTGATGACTTATGTTTAGTTAGGTAGGATGCTTTCTGTTATTTGTAATTGTTAAATGATGAGGGGATGATCAGCTTCTGCAAAAAAAAAGTATTTCAATAAGGTCAAAAGAGAAGCAAGCTATCAATTTTGTTGCCATTTTTTACTTTTTCTATTATCACTGCCATGGTTGTCAGACATAAATGTACTGCCACCCTGCAAACTAATTGCAAATACATGAGTAAACAGTAAACAAACCAGGATAGTATACTTATCAGTGGGCCAGCTAATAAATGGCTGACAATTAATATTCAGTTTGACAACTTGTTAACAGAGGGACCATTCCCCCTCATATCAGGTCAAGGTTGTGCATCTTGCATGAGTTTAATCATCGTTGATGTAGGTATTTTTGTAAGCATTACCCCAGACATCAACAGATTATACTGGCTTATCATTTCCATCAAGTATTTTTACTTTTCCACTGCTAGTAAATTATGCTATATATCCATTAACATTTTACTCAAGGTTAGTAGAATTGCAGATTAGAACAAAACATAATAAAATGTATTTTGATTTCACTAGATTTCTAGTGTTACCAAGGGAGGAATAAATACATTTGAACAGGAAATTAAAAATTAAGATGTAAAAAATAAAATTCCTAGCAAGGAATGTACAAAAGAAGTAGATTGAAAACTGGCGTACAATATTGTCAGGTGTGGAGGAAGTAAGCTGCAATCCCTGTTGATTCCATTTCCTCCGTAGAGGATAACCGAAATTGTGTCAAACGGCTTTGTTTGCAAACAGTTTAGTCTGGATATTGGTAGGAATGGTTGTGGCAGCGTCACTAACTGTGAAAACATAGTCAAAACCAGACTGAATCTTCAGTGCTCCTCTAGGGACATATTGGGGATAGGAAACTGTAAAGTATTGGTGTTGAGGCATTCCTGACCCTAAAGATAAAATATAAAGCTTGAAGAATCAGCTTTATGCATGCAGAGAGCATATAGGTCTAAACAAAGTTTGGAAACCAAAGTTCATTCACTAAGTAAAGTTTACCAAAATATTTCATTGTCATTTATTGAATTTACAGTATTTAATTAAGAACTAATTGGCATAATAAATCTAATACTCTACAGTAAAACATAATCAGTTTTATCTCTATTTATATCGAAATACCAAATTATCATCATTATAGTATTCTCTATTAATCACCATCAAATTAAGCGTTATCTATATCGCCATTAACATCACTTAATATCAATGACAAATTATTGAGCAATTCAAAGTATTGACACACCAACATAGTAAACTACAAAGGCCTACCTCAAACTATCCTAATGTGTAGTAATTACCACCAATTCAAAGTATATAAATTCCTTCATCATAAAGTCAGTTTTGTACTGAACTCTCTCTTACTAACAACCAAGGGTGGATTTAGAGGGAGTGGCAGCCGGCGCCTTTTTGCAATGTCAAAAAAAAAAAGAAAAAAGAGAAAGAAAGAAAAAGAAATTATTGATCGCCCAAAATGCTTCAGAGGTTATTTCCTGGCATCTAAACAAAATTTCGTAGGGGCAAGCCCCCTGACCCCCTGGGTAGAGTTGTAGCTCATTAGGCTCAATTTTGGACATCTCTGGATTCGCCCAAAAACAGTAACGAAAATAATGACAACAATAACAATAATATATGAATATATAAAAAAAAATGTTAATGACTTCTACCGAAGATCAAATGCCTGTCTAAATCATTTCTCCTCAGTACCACACGGTAACATGGATCAAAATTGATAAATCTCCTGTGAAGAAGCAAAGTTTAAAATTGCACCTTAAACCTTTACTAGTCTAGAAAGGGACTCCCCAATGATCACACCTGAGCGGATGCTAATGCAAAACATGTCTTGTCAGGTACATGTATTTCCGTCCACATAAAACATGAGCAAAATTTGCAGCAAAAAAAATGAAGAAACGCTGCAGGTAAGGTATATTTATAATGTATTCAATCACTATCACTTTGCATATATGCCATGGTTTCACCCTTGAATACAAATCCATTGGTTTGTAAAAGAAACAAAGTTTAAGCAAGTTACTTTGTACTTAAAAGAAAACTGAATTCTAATAAAAATATTAGATGCTAAATTTCAAAAAATTTTTGTAAAAAAAAGTTACATTATGTAATAATCATAAGCTGAACCTTTTTTTGTTCTAATACTGGTACTGTCAATGGTAGTTCCAAATTACCTAGACTTAAGAAAACAGTTACTCCATCAGTAACTAATCCATTTAACTAAAGCCATCTGGACTTAATTTGCATAATTTCTCACTTGTATTACACAGTTTAAAGATTCTATATTTTCTACCTAATTTTATATATTGACACCTGTACTCAATATAGATGATGCAGATAACCTGCATGTGAAGAATTCTCACCTGGGATTTATCCATCAGAATGCATTACATTTCATGAGGAAAGGTAAAAAAAAAATTATTCAAAAAAACATCTACCAGTAATTAACTCCATAAACAAAATTAGGCACATTTTAAATACATTTTCATATCAAATGTTGTGTTAACCCATATACTGTACAATGAGATTATAATTTCTAGCATATGCCAGCTATTCATACAAGGAATGTAATTTGCATAGCTAATATGTAACAAACATTTAATTTATACAATTTGATTTTTTTTTTAAATCTCTAGTAAATATAACATCAATATTACAATAAAATTCAAGTTGTGAAATGAAATAAAGATAATTTGCATAAATGAAATACTTTTAACTCACCACTGACCCCACAAAAACTGGATGAAGGCACTGATTTTGATGTAGAGCGTTTGTAGACGGCATGTGGAAACCCTTCAGTGACATCATCTATCAGATGGTACAGAGGTTCAATCAAAAACTCCTCCCCTTCAGAGTTAATTATTCCATGCTACAGAATATAAATGGAAATTAATCAAACAAAAAATGTGATGATATATAGCAGGAGTGGGCATAAAAATTGGTCGGAGGGCCAAAGTGAATTTTTGATTTAACACCGAGGGCCGCAACTGAACTTTTAGGTTTCCAGTGCGCTTCCAAAAGCATTGCTTTTACACCACTTTATTCCCAGTTTTAATAATACTTTTTACAGATGGTCGGTGTCGGGCAATAAAAAACAAGGTAGGGTTTTAAATTCACTTTCCCGGGCTAGTATATATAGTTTTAACGATGTACTGTCCCCTTTTGGCAAACAATATAATTTAATTAATTGCTAATTTTGAAGTAAAGTAAAACTTTAAAATAGGAATAAGTGTATTTTTGAAATGTTTTCCTTTACATTTTTTTCCCAGATAATGAAAATTATTTAAAAATACTTTAATGGAAGTGTTTCTATTTATCATTATCTGGTGTATATAAATCCAAGTAAACATTTTTTTAAATACACAAATTTCTATGCTCCAGTCAATAAATAATGTTGATGTTTCTCCAAAAAGAGGAAGTTCCATAATTGATTTTTATGATTTTTGTCATCCTTCAGAGGCAATACATCAGTTAGTATTGAGGAAAAACAAACTTGAAACGTAAATTCAATATCTGAATGAGAAAACAAACAGATGCATAAATAATTCCTTTTTTAAATGGTTTTGCATTGACCTTTAAATTGACTGGTAATCAATTTAAGGTTTTTAGGTTTTGAAATCTGTAAATCAATTAAAACACAATTGTTTTAATAAGTTTTTCCTTGAGTTGATTTACTACATTTCACAAAAGGAATAATAATACTTGACATGAATGCATTCACTGAACAATATTATTTGTTTTCAGATTGTAGAAAAACAAACGATCGAATGGTTACAAACAGCAGCATAACAAGTCAATCCCCTGTGGCAAAAACATGTTGGGGCCCAAGTATTCGCTAACCTAACATTATAAGGTTGAGTAGACTGCATTTAAAGGCAATGTCAGTATTGAAAAACAATATATTGTGTGACTATATAAACCACAGAATCAACTTTTATTTTCACACATCCCAGGGCATATTTGGACTGGGGCAGGGGTCCTGGGGCTTCTCCTGGAAGTATAGGCGTTATGTCACAAATCTCCTAAATTTGAGATGCTGGAGTAAATCAGAATGTTCCAAAAATTTTTTTAACCTTTTTAACCATTCAAAATCTGGCTCTGATTTCATCCTTAATTGTATTCTGGATGTAATCTTCCTTACAGTGCCATGCTAGCATCCTAAAGTATGACCCTGTACACCTGTTCACTGACAGAGCCCCATCTAATCTCCGCTATGACCAAACCGCTAACAGGTTCACCTAGGCCACGGATATCCTTTCTTACCTAGGATAAGGCTTTATTGGGCTAAACTGATTCTGCTTACCCAGATACAGATAATCAAGGGCAGCTAGCAGTGATTCAGTCTTTACGTAGTAATCCGAATCATGACCTTTTGAGTCAAAACTGGAAATTAATAGTGAAAAATCGTTTCTTTACTGGAAACTTCCACTGCAGGTAGGCCCACTCAGCACTGTCATTTTCCATTCTCAATCTCTGGCCCTTGTCCTGACAGGCTATGAAGCGCCAAAAGGCAAGTGTAAGCATAAGTACATGCCAATTAACTACTGTATCAAGCAACTACAAATGAAAATAATAAAAATAAATATGGGAAATAAGGAAAAGCGTCAGGTCCTTGCGTCAATGAATAGTCAATAAAGAAACAACTTTAAAAAGCTAGCGCATTAATAATATGGACACTTGAGACATCGAATGGGTTTCATGAGTGTATGTAGTTAGTCCATACAACAACTCCCTGGTCCATATTATTACAACCATTCCACATGGACTTTCCATGAATCATGATAAATACAGAAAATATACATGAAAAAATAAATGGTCACTCGCTATAAAGACTCTAAGGCGGCAAGGCCATCCTCAATATCGTGACGTTGAAGGTTCTCACATGAAGAAAAGTAATCGGCACACAAGTAACTATAGCAACAGTCGGCAGCAGTTGAGCGCCAACGCAACCTAATAATACCGTTGAATAAAACTGGTCGTCAAAGATATTCTTTTGATGGGGCCTACAAAAATCCACTCAATAGGCATATAAAATAAACACGTTTCCGTCTTCAAATCGCATATACAACTAGATCGCAGCGTCTTCCGCAAGTTATCGGTAAATGCCGTTTTCAAAAACATGATGAGGTTAGGCTGGGCCTTTTTCAGTTAGTGTCTGTTCAACACTAAACAGACACTGCAGTCATAATTTTATTAATGTAATCATATGGACGCCCGTAAAACAACCGTTCATATAGACATATTGGAATAATCTTTTTCGTAATAAACGGTTTGTAAACGTTTACTGACATGGATTGCATATGCATATATAGACAGACAGTTACTAAGGCCTGTAAGATACGAACAACTCGCACGGCACGTTATTTGTTCTTGGAAATCAGACACATGGCCTAACATATAGTGACATTAAAGTGAGAGTAAAATAATGTAGAGGCTCTAGTTCTACAAAAATGACATTACATTTAACTAGACCATAGAGGCTGAGTCAGCGCGGAAGGAGATACTGTATAAAGAAAAAACTCCAATAAGCAGATGCATATTAGCAATATAGGAAGCTATTGGAATATCGACATGGTATAGTTCCGCCGAACATGCATGTGCATGCGCCTCCTAAGAGACTCGTAAACTCGGCTACGTCTGCCAAACGTCAGCCAAGCGTATCATCGAAAAAAGGATTATACGGTGCTATATAAAGCGCTGTAATTAATAAGGTAGACCAGTTAGCGTAACCGGTAGTCAAGTGGGGTAGTGGATTTGCCAAATGTATAATCAAGTAAAAATCCAAAATGTTGTGAACTTTGTCTATTCTGAATATAACCGTCCAGAAAATCTTCTTCATGGAAACGCATCCTTGACATCAGTGGGGCATACTTGTGATCCGAGAGATCCTTACTGTCACATTATTGTTTGAATGCTGCAAACTTCACCATGCTGATCCTAAAAATGTCATTACTGTAAACAGTCACCGATTTTTCTTACCCACTATTGTATAATTGATGCTTTTTAATGGTTCTCCTTACATCTAAAGCGACAATGTACCTTATGGACATCAGCAGTCATAACAAATTTGCGGCGTCATGCGAAACTGCGTCCTAGCATAGCCGTCATAGCAAGTTGCATCGTCATACGAGGTTGTGTCGTCATAGAGAAGTTACTCGCCCAATGTATCAGAGGGGAAACATTGTTTGTACTACAGATACAATCTTCGATGTCTGTGTCAATATCTTTTGAGAGCGACAATGACCCATTAATGGCGTAATTAGTGGATTGATAGACGGGGAAGAACAACACAGGAAAACTCATTCGGCCCTCATAAAGAGACTCCGCGTGTTGCATAACTCCGTCGCTGAAGCTGCATCGTCATACGAGGCTGTCGTCATATAGTGAGTTTACCCAGTCATCGTCACCCGATGCATCAGAGGGGAAGCCTCGTTTATACTTCAGATGCAATAATCTTATGAGAGCGACAATGACCCATTAATTACGTAGTTTAGAGATGATAGACGAGGATGAAAAACACAGACTCATTCGGATGACATCACCGGTCATAGAGACGTACAGTTGGGGTGTTGCACACGAATCTCCGTCGTCATACGAAGCTGCATCGTCATACGGATACTAGGCTGTGTCGTTATACAGGGAGGTTACCCAATCGTCGTTACTCAATGTATCAGAGGGGAAACATCTTCTAAACATCTTCTATAGTTACATCAGATGCAATCTATTTCTAAGTCAATTCAGAGCGAATCTAAATTACGTAGTTGGTGGAAATGATAGACGGGAATGAACAACACAGGAGAAACTTATTCGGATGAAAACTGGTGTCTGTTTGGTATTATGACGTGTATAAGTAAAATATGAGTCGTGTCTAGTCAAAATTATTAATATATCAATAATTAACATCAAAAGTGTTAAAATGATTTTTAAAAAAAACTGAGTGTTAACAAACATCCAAACTGATTGCATTTAGAATCATTGTGATATGAATTATAATTAATTTAATTTACACATCCGAATTATATGATATTATTAATGGAAGTGCGAAATATAATACTTACAAGGCCTTTGCAGTTACTTATTGAGATTTTTGAAGAAGAAACATTTCCGACCAAGCTGCCGTGGTAGTGGCAGTCATCAATCTGACGATGCGTAGTGTCCACGTGACCCGAACTACCTCGATATTCTACGATATAATTATGAGAGAACAACTTCTCGTTCAACGTAAGATTAAGGTGAAAGTGAGTTCCCTGTGCTACGAATTTATAATACAATATTTTGTCTGTTTTTATTGGCATGAACATATTTGGAACAGCATGCCGCCTAGTTCGTTTTCGGCTGTTCAATATATCATAGCTTATATGTTCCCCTTTATGATTTACCAGCGCAGGTAGAACAGTCTCGTATGTTTCGTATTCTGTGTGCCCCATGGTTTTAGTCATTGGCCCTATGGAGAGAACAGATCAATATATTTACAATTATATTAACAAAAAATAACAACAATAACAAAAACAATAATAATGATGATGATAACGACAATGATTGTAACAATATACCGTAATATTTAACAACAATACAAATATTAGTAATAATAATATTAATAATTTGGAATAATAAATAATAATTACGGATGAATGTATTGTCTGGATATCTGAGCCCTTATTGCATCCTTCAACCAAAAGATAAACCCACATTAATTGAGTTATGTAACATTCTATGGTACTTATAATAAACTAGTTGTGTAGGCCTACTGATTTAAAAAAAATCGTTAATCAACCATCTAATGAATCAACTCACCATAATGATACTCATTTTGCAGCCCCGTTCCAGCGGGAACCATTACAACTAAACTGCACAACCAAATTAAGATCGTCTGTAAATTGTTCATTCCCATAATACTCAAAAAATTCAAACAGCGCGGCAATCTGCTAAATCAATACACTAAAACAAATTATACAGCAGAATATAAAATTCAACACGAAATACTGAACAATTCAAAAATTTTGCCTTGTCAATATAATAAGGCTTGCTTGGTATTTTTTGAATGACGTAGGTCTACATAAATGGTACATTCCTCCTAACAACATTTTTCTAATATCACATCCTGCGTAAAGAAACCATCAATTGAACTTGAGTTGTAAAACTGTGTTGCGTCAAAATGTGTCCCGATTAAAACCCTCCTGACACTAGAAATAACTCGAAGGAAATGGGTCACGATTCATAAGTACAGAGGTTATAATATCCAGATTTGGTAGAGGACTCGAATCTGCAGTTGTTTTTCGCTTTATATATATCGTTTTAGATCCAGGAAAATCAATAAGTTTGTGGAAATGCTCCTATTGGAATAAGGGGAGCACGAATTGGATGTAGAGGCCTAGTTACTAGTCGATCGAGTGCTGCTTCTGTAATCTCCTCGACCGTCTGCCGTGATTGCTTGGTCGTCTGTTAATTTTGAAGCCAGGTTGTTCGTGCCAAACGAATTGTGCTGCTCAATTTATGTGGTTTCGTCACGTGCGTATCTGCTCTTACCTCTACACTGAAAAGAAAAAGAAGTGTCAAACAACAATCAGTAAACTAAGACAGTGAAAAACCGCTAACCTTTCAGTTCTTTGTTAATATGAATACATTTCCGCTTTAAATTTGGAGTTTACAACCAAAAAGGTTACAATATTGTTTGATTATAATATAGTTCATAGTCCGTAACAGAGCTCAATAAAAATTAGGATCATGTAAAACGAAAATGTCCTTATTGTCATACAACTGGCACGTTTTGTGGATTTGGATGAAACTAATACAAAATACGGACACGATTGAAGGGCGGAGTAATAATAACATAGGCGGTCGATCACGTCAGTGCAGCGGTGTCTCCAATACAACAGCTAGACACGCCCACACTCGGAAAGTTTGAATTCCGCTAATTACGCGTCGATTGAGGTAGTATGGTTGTACTGTATTATCCTGGCATATGTTTATCATGTCTTTAAAAAGTATAATATTGTCGAATGAGATTATATTGACTGAGATAACACCAATTAGGTATAGGCCTAATCATTTATGATCATCATAAAAGCAGCAATACAAGGAGGCGAATATACAAAAATCTAAATATGTAGTACAGTGAGCAGTTGTCCACCAATATGCTAAAGTTTATCAGAGGTTGTCTCGGTTGAATTTATGAAGATGTGTGGCTCCTCTGATGATATATTGTATTGGTGGTGATTATAAATGATAACCTTGATGTTGATAACGGATGGTTGCCACGATGAATGATAATATGCCTACTTTAAACGGATAACGATAATAATGAATGATGAGTTGATAACATTAATAGTAAAGTTGATAATATTAATAGTAAGGATGATGATGATGATGATGATGATGATGATGATGATGATGATGATGATGATGGTGATGATGATGATGATGATGATGATGATGGCATTGATGCCATTGATAAAGACGTCCATTCTAATCAAGTTTGATGATTACTAATATTTAATTATACGATTATTATTTTTTACTTTTTATTTTTTAATGATGATGAGAATATGATAGGAATGATGATGATACAGTATTGATAAGGATGGTGATAAAATTAATTTATTCCTAGATGAAAATATTGATAAAGACTATGATTGAAAGAACGATTTAGATAGGCCTAACAGCGATGCTGTTGTTGATTAGGCCTCTATGCTGATAATTTAAAGTTGCAACAACCATTTTTTCTAGAATTGAAACGAAACATAGAACTACTGCACTGGAAATTCGGAATTATTTTGTTTGATTTATTTCTTCGATTCAAATGGTCAGAACCATAAGGCCTGTAACACAGATGGGTAGAAGTATAAATGAAAATCGATCGAAAAATAATCAAAAAATTATATTAATATTAATAATAACCATTATTGCGTCTCCGTTAGGAAGGAAATATCTCATCATAGAAAACAGTCATGGTGACGTGTATTTTTAGATTTATAGTTTCTGTTGTCGGATCAATCACTAGTCATGGCCTATATGAAAATGACATCCCAATAAAGAATCAATTTGCCTACAACGGAGTCACAGCAAGACTGGCACTTTTGCCCAACTCAGTTAGCACCGACCTTCTCTGAAGAACAAGAAGACAAATAGAATCGCGGTGGATGTGGCTTCGTCGCGGCTGATCAGCAGACAGGCCGTCCCTGTTGGATGCAATAAATCCGCAAGATTACATCCAACTAGGCGTTAATGCCGCTGCTGAGGGGATGTTGCTAGAAGCTTTTTGAGAGACGTGTAGGATCGTTCAGACACGTCACGAGCAGCACCGGGAATAAAACAAACATTCGTTGTATTTAATTGATTGAATTCTGAATAGTTCAACATCTCTTTCAAGGAGGTATACCTTAATACATACCAACAATAGCGAAATTTGAGGCACAAGGAGACCATTATTATTTACTATTTTCTACACATCATCAGTAATATTCTACTATATCTGTACAGTAATTGTTATACTGTCTTTATTGTTTGGATCTATTGTCACGTAATAGATGTTGTTAATGTAATTACAAGTTGCAAAAAAAATCCTTTTCTCTCTCTCTTTTCATACTCTACTGGTAATTTTATACCTTAGGTATATATTATTGTATCAGAATCAGAAAGCTTATATTATTTGTAACAGCTACTTAAACATCATCAATAATGCATATGAACAATAAATAGCTCCCTTGAATGAATTATTGAAACTACACACGTCTCTACAAGTGGTTAGATACACGGCCGTCGGATCTATGATTAATGGTTTGAATTTCCGATGTATATTATAATCTAACACATTCTGATTCATACACCAAAACTGTTCATAGTTCAGTTGTTATGAACTTTAAGACTCAGTTGTTCGTGCAGACATACGGGAAATGAGTCACATTTGGATTTGTTGATGCAGAGTATTTCACAAATAGGCATATGGCTACATAACATTATCGTAAATACAGGGGAAACACATCGCCATACATGCTTACATGTTTAATATGCCTATTTTTAGTAATTAAACATCAAACAGCCATGATAAATTACATTTCACAAACAATGTACTGTATGGCACAGGCCTACACGTGTACCATGACAACCACGAGTGGAGGTGGTATAATACTGGTGTGATATGTTGTGGGTACCACGCGATATGCTGTATCGTGTCGATAATGAGAGGCAGTAGGCCACGAATGTGACATATGGAACACAGCGGATGTTCAAAATAAATTTAGGAGATCTCCGTCTTCAATGATGGATTTGGTGGCGTCATGGGTATTTGGGGTTTCGTATTATTGTAAACAAAATCGAATTGCAAATATAATATCTGTTGTAAAACGGTAGTATATCTTTCCACTCTGCTAAGCAACGCAAGAAAACCACAATAACAAGCCTGCTGCACATCTGTATGATACAGGGAATCGATCAGATCCTCTCCTTGGCAATGTCACGTTATCTTCCTTATGGTGCGGAAAATTAATATTGACAGCTGGCAAAGGTTCTAGATAAGGTTGCCGGTAAAATTACGTTCAGTTGGCCATTTGTCCAACGGCTATAGGTTTATGAGGATATCTCATGGGTCTTTAATATAGAGCAGTTACACTAAATATTGACCACTAAACTTACCACTGACCTGCGATTTTAATTCAGCGTCGATGAATTAAAGCACTAGAGTAGGCCTATATAAAGGTAGGCGTTTCATTCATTCATTCAAGGATTTATTCAAAATCTACATTGTAGCCAGTTGCTAATTTGCGTAAACCTTTTGGTCTATGGTTGAGGATCCATTAAAAAGGGAAAATGAACCACTTTTGAAAGTTGTAAACTATGAACATGAGTGTTATTTACATAGTTTAAAGGGAAAATAACTTTAAAATTTATATGTAACACATGCGGACGAAGATCAATCATCCCACCTTAATTAAACACTTCCTACCAATATGTGCACATTACATACTATAAGCAAATCATGAAAACTTCCCCTTACAATAAATATACATAAATTAAATGTTGTAATTATGTTGTAGGCCTATATAACAGGTATTTTTTACCTTATTTTAACAAGGTCTATGAAATCATTGTTGTCTCAAATAGCAAATAATTAGAACTTCAACGTTTACGGATGAACAATTAAATTGACGACAATTAGACCTAAATGCATAAAATTCACCGAGGCGTATTGTGGGACAGAAGTCGAGAAAAGGACTGTGGCTCACAAATTAACAGATACGTACCACAGCCAGGATGTCTCAGAGACAGCGGTTCTGTAGATGAACCAGCTCCTACCCCAACTTTTTTTAAACTTCCTTTCCCAAGAAGGACGGACTTACCTGTCAAAAACCAAATATAAAGAATGTGTTCCTAAAAGAATTCCAGATAGACATCGTTTTTAACTGTTTTACGTTGATGATTCCAATCTTTGGTCGCATACAACTAGTTCCACAAACCGACTGTTATATAACCATCCATGTTCCTGAATAAAGGCAGACAGTTCCAGGCTCATATAAGCACACTTACGGCACAATCCGACGGCACAAACTGTCGGCTTGCATCTATATAAAAGTGGCCATCTCGCGAGGGGATCAGATGCAACAGTTGTGCTACTCATAGGAAAGATATAAGTTCGAAAGAGGGCGCTGATTCGAAATATTCCTGTCTCTTATACACATCTAGATGTGTATAAGAGACAGTATATATACTGAATGAATGTGAATCAGAAAGATAAATAATGATAATTGGAACGACAATCATTCATCAACGAACAACGAGCCGACAAACAAAACAAATAATAAAACATCAGTTGACAACCATTGAAACTATAGAGGTAAACAATATCATTTATATCACCATAATGAAAATATGGCGGTATAAGGTGAAACTAAGGTCGATCAACGTAAACGTTTTTGTCATAAAATTGCGACCGTCAATCGTGACAATCTCCGTAACCTTGAAATAACAAACGTCGCCTTGAAAAGTAAGTACATGTACAGTATTCCATACTATATTAAAATGATGTCACCCTTGATTACGTTATTCAAATTTTAATATCTATCAAAATAATCGTGAGACTGTTAATGTATGGTTGTATACAACAGTAAGGTTCTTACAAGGGAGTTTGAAACACATTATTCAGAGTCCCATATGTCATACTTAGGCCTACCGGTGGACCTTGGTAGGATAACCTCCTTCAGGCATAAATCCAATTCCCGCTGTATTTACCTGTTTTACCAATTGGATTACAGCAAACTTTTATTGTCCTTAAATGAAGGAAAAAATCATTCTTAAATCCTTCTTGGTAAAATGTAATTCCTTTTAATAATTTCAAAAGTGAAGAATTATTGTAATAGCGGTATCAACTGTAAATATGACTTCATATTCTAATGTGTCTGTACATACAGACATGTTTTATCGCTATGAGATAACGTAAGGCACGGGGTGTCAATTTTTGCTAAATAATAAGTGAACACATGGCGCCTCATAGTTCAATACATCAAAACATAGTATTCCAAAAGTATGACGGTATGAAAAGTATGACTTATAAAGCTAAGTGTGTGACGCATCAAAATTAACAGTGTCTTTAAAGCGCGCGACAAGCCAGTAATTAATTGAAATAAGGTTGCCTGACAAGGGTGAACCTGTCCAATATTTCAAGGGCCATAGGTCTATATACGTACAGACAAATATTGAGACCAATAATGTTAGTGCTGACATTATGACATACACAAGCTCAGCGAAAGACAGTACAAGAAACATTTCCAAACTTCAACACCATCTCAGTTACTAGGCCTTTAACGACAGAAATTAAAGTATTGCATCAATATCGTATCAAGATATATATTACCGGTACTGTTACGGTAGGCGACGTAGACAAACATAACATTAAATCTATGAAGACATTTCTCTCGTGATTTATTGCATGCTATCAAGGGACATTATCCTGTAATTGATTCATATCCATATTATATCAAATATATGTTATTATGTTATGATTTATGGAAATGTAAATTTTAACCATATTTTCCGAAACTATAATTTTACATTTCAGTATTATGTTATTGCAACAACGGGTGGGCGTCCTGAATGGAACATCTATGTAGACCTATCATATAGTCAAGTACAATACCGCATTAACTTGCTGAAAAACCGGAAAAAGTACCAGTTATTAATGATAACCATGGATACGTAACGTTTTATATCAGACTGGTGTCAATCAAAAAGTATACCGAAGTTTCTAAAAATGTCATGTTAATCCACCTTAATATCGTCATTTTGCGTTAACATAAATAGGCCTACAGTCAGCTCACTTTTTCAAGTAGCGGAAGTGTCATTCAAGTACCTTTTAACAATCTCTAGTACTGTCAAGATCCCAGGATCTTGGTAGTCCATCGAAATCTGCGTCACATTATCGCGGTCCACCAGACATGAACCCGTCGCGCTAAAGATGCATTTATAAATCTGATGTTTCCTTTTTATGATTATCTGGTAGCAAGATTAATTAATAACTTACGGAGGTATTGTTAACAGGTAATGACAAGGCAACACTCCGAGACTAATTTTAAAGATGTAATTTTATTAGACACGAGCTTTTACTGGTAGTCAATGCCAGATGTATATTCAATGTCCACCAAAATGACTTCAAGTGCCTCTGTCGTTGTAGACCTACCTTGTTTGATTTGGTTCGTCGGAACAAGTACATATATCACCTTATATATCTCCATGGTACTACCCTTGAATTCCATTGACCGTCCTAACCAGATTTTCTGAGGAGAGAATTTTTATTAAGTTTGTTAAACTGATCAATTGTTAATAATATTAACAAGAAGGAAGAAATAATTAATATAAAAACAAATAGCAAACAAATATAATAAAAACGAATACAGTAATACGATAAAAAAAAAACAATAGAACATTTCTATTTTCTCTATGGCGTGACAAGGCTCTGTGCACATCAAAGCAGCAAGATAAGATTTACCGTGGTTACAGTTGTTACACAATAGGCCTACAACATTCGTCGATTCCGACAGGTGAAGTTGCAACATTCCAGGAGTCAAAAAATCCACAACAGTAGAGTAGAGCCTAATAGACGATAATTGAGCATCTTTTGTACTCGGGTTTGTTTTCTTCGCAGTTTCCTTTCACCAATCCTACGTGTAGTCTCTCTAGTCAATCTCCTGGTGCTTTGTGTCAGACACTTGCGCGTTAGTTCAAAATAAACAACGGCCAAGTGCTGCTCCTCGCATGAATGAATAGTAATCCTGTCCACACAATAATAATTAAAAGTGCTGTGCATTAGAAGTAGGCCTAAACATAAAGTATACACCCGTTCTTAACCATACAGTACTATGCTAAGAGGTCCATTCCATTCGGTATATCACTGTAACCAAGCCTGAATGGTACGGTACCTGAATGGTACGGTACCTTTAATATCTGGTCTGCCTTTTACGCACTATCAGTGGTCATCGGTTCGTCCTCATATTTCGTCTCATATTCAACGTCGTCAGGCATTTTAACAATGAGGACCTAAATGCAGCCATCTTTCGTCAGTAAAACATATATAATGAACTTATGCTTTACAAAACAATTTATCTATATTTACACATGAACCTACTTGACCCGACAACAAAACGTGTGGAATGATCAACGCAATTTATTACAGTTCGCACTCCAATTTGAGACCCCTGTTAATTCGAGACCATAAAATAGGCACTATGTTACAATCTTTAATCTTTTAACACACAGCTAACACTCTAGAGACCGACCGCCCGAGACCGGACCACATTTTCAGCTACCAAAGGTGGTCTCGAATTTGAAGGCGAACTGTATATTTACAATACATAAAAATGTGGATACGCACGGCATCACATTCAGCCAATCAGCGATGGACAGCTCAGACTGTTTACACTTTTATCAAACAGACGAATGATGAACGGGTACGACGGGTACAAATGAATCAGATGATGATTTAGGCTACCATATAATCACTTCGATCTCACAACATTCAATTCCAAGTAACATATTTTCTTCAAACACTTTACGAAGTCCTCGTCCGATTTTAGATGATCCCGCCAAGAACGCACAATAAAGATGTGCGCTTACAAATTATTTCAATTAACGCAATCAGTGTCAATTTTCATTTACTTATTCATTCCTCTTTCTACATTTCGAAAACTCAATAGGTATAGGCCTACAACTACAAATGCATGCACACTTAATTAGAAAGCATAATGCGTGATCTTCCATTAGCACTTCATTTCGTTCGGATTAACGTTCATGTGTATTCTATAATTTAGGTATATGAGTTTGATATAGTTTTCACGAGTGCTATAGTGCATTGCAAAACTCGGTATAAACCGGTAGGAAATCCAGTCAGCCAGAGGCAGGTAAGAAAATGTATCCGTATGTAATTTCAGGAACGCGTAGTGAAACACAGTTAGTTACAGTGTGATGTCATTTTGTTCTGATTCTATTTTCAACAATACTATTAGGCCGAATAATAATAATAAAAATAGGCCTAATAAGTTGTTACATTAACTTTCTAATCGCCACCACTATCCTTCAAGAGTTCCTATGGAACGCCATTCACGCAGCAATCTGATGATTAAAATTCAGTCTCGATATGTGATTGAGAGCTTTGATTTAAAAAAATGTATCGGTGAAAATGTATCCATAGAGTATTAAAATAGGCCCCTATATCGATAAAATATGCATCTAAAAGGCATCGATACCTTTTATTACGGTATTAAATGTATTTTTAATCGATCCATTTTTATGCATTCATCATCGATTCACGTTTAATCATTAGTGTACTTTTCATCGCTGCATTTTGTTTTATCATCCAAGCATTTTGTTAAGTTAAAGGTAGCAGAATTCTTAATCGAGAGGCACAAAAACAAAATGACACCATATACTGGTTCCTCTTCGTGCTGACGGCGGTGATGATGAAATTAAAATAGGTCTAAAACAACACAAAAAACGTATGAAATCTAATATCATCGGCCACATCTTCAAAATCAGTGAAACAAATAAAAAATGTAGGCTTAGGTTTCATGCATTTAGAAGTAGGTGATTCGAATTTTATAGTCGTGAATTGACACTAAGTAGATCCAATAAGAACTGAATTAGATGTTAATCGAACATCACAATTGTTTGAATTTGACTGAATTGAGAGAATGATAATGGAAATTAACAACCGCATGTTGAGTTTCCTCGCTGAAATGTCATTTTGGTCCAAAATATTGGTTTGAAATGAAATAGACAGACACTGTGAATGCCGGCCTTCACAAATTGGTTACACCAGGGAACAGTTAAATGGTTACAATGACAGATAGTGTGGGAAAACATATTTATATATTCGAATGGATTTGGGGAAATGTCCTGGCCTGAAGGCGTCTTTTAGTGAATAAATAACGGTCAAGAAAATCTGAGCCATTGATCTCCAAACAAAAGTAGGCAACGAAGAGTAGTATAAAGATGTCCTACAATATCCTTATTGCTTTGTTGGCCATTGAAAGCTATCCCAGCTGCTTTTACCACCGAGACAATACACGCTTTTAGTTGTTTCCCGAATTTTCAGCTTATAATTTAGTCATCGCTAAAACCTAAAACCAACAAACTGAATAAAGCCATACTGTTTAAGCCATCAACTTTCGCATTCAGAGCATGTGTCCTTGGATAGCTCTGAGGAAGCCAGACTACGACGGTGTAGTAAATTCTTGGCTAAACTATAGCATAGAATTTATTTGAAATAGTAATACGACCAGATTTGCAGGAATTAAATCCTAAACTTATTAATTTACGAGGTTACAAAAAGTCCTTCCGAGACAATAAATTATATGACTACTGTGCAGTATAGGTAACAAAAATTAAATTCATATCAGATTCTCTAATAATAAATACGGTACAAGCGAAAGTTCATACATGGTAAGCCAAAGGACCGAACTTGTCTTGTTTGCGCCTCCGCCTCTATTTGGATGTCGATATAGGCAAATTTTACTTAATAATGCATTCATAATCATTACATCAATAGGATCTCAAGTTGTTTTTCTCACGTAGAGCTTACTATGATTGGTTTAACCAACTAATACTTAAAGATTATTTTTATAATAGTGTTTAAGCATACACTTGGACCACTGAGATATTTTCCTTTTGAACACGTCACAGCAGATCAAAATGAAAAAAGGGTTAGGCGTAAACCAGTGCCTTTGCCACTTAAGGTACATGCTACGAAGCAGCACATGGCTATTTTACTTACTGTACTTTCGGCCATGATCTTGATTTTGAATGTGATGACTAAATAAATTTTGGGGACACCGCGAGAAATTACGTCACACACGCGCGAAAGGCAATGACGTCAAATAAGGACAAACGCTGAACTTTACACACACATTACCACAAAATATTGTATTACTGAATTTTAATCACTTTTTAACAGTTATTTGTTTCATATTTCTTTTAATACTAATAACTCTTTTCTAAGACCTTTTCATGCGTGCTTTTATTTGTTAGGGCTACATTGGATTGGTTATTCTTTTATTCTTTATCAGACATAAAAACGTTTCTTTTATTTTTGGTAGGCTAATTATTAATATTATTCATTTTTTTAAAGTTGATCAACAAAATGTAAATTTGATGTTATTATTTCGTCTACCTTGTTGAAGTAGGCCATAGACAGAGAACGTTGAATAGGGCTAAATGAAGCGTACCAGTCGAGCACCAGCGGGTGTGACGTCATCCCGATCTTGAGCCGAAAGAATGTTGATCGAAAAAAACATATCGTTGGCATTATAATGCTCTGTGTGTGTAGTTTCATTGCAATTTACTCTAGTTTCAGAGGCTTTAAAGTTAAGTGTATTTATTTTTTCAGTATACGGGCATTAATACTAATATAGAATGATGAGAAGTTGCTAGTCACAGTACATATCATTTTGACAAGACGCTTACATGCGTCTTGTCATCGAACAATGACTTAGTCAACATCATTAACTATTGCCATGATTGATATGACAGCGACACTTCTGATGATGAAGCGAATATTTCTTATTGCTAATTGAGCCACGAATCATTAGATAAACTATGCTTGATTGATTGATAATTGATTGATCGTTCGATAAGGGTGATTATTGATGAACAATCGCATGCCATGAAATGGAATAATTACGCTATGCCATATAGACAGCGCCTACATAAGCCTATTACATTACTAAGCATAAGTTATCGACAGTAGTATTCGTTATCATATCTTATCTTAATTTTCTTATTTCAGTAAGCGGCGGTCTCGTCATAAATAATGTAATAATAAAAATTAGAATCATTATCTCCGTAGGACTACATTTTGTCTGACCATGAATTGTCGGCCTACTGATTTACAGTATTGCCTCAAACATTAGTTTTATGGCTCCATAAGGCACTGATGTGTTTTTCTGTCTTTTGACTAAGATGTATTGTTGTTCTAGATGAATACACGCAATAATAAATGTTTTCCTCAGACAATGAAGGATAAAATAATGAAACGTTATTTTATTTATGTGTCTATGGAAGCAGGGTAAAGGGTAAAGTTTTTAAAGAGAGACAAATTGGGCATTTAGGAGTAGGCCTACTGTGGAGTTGAGTCATTTATTGAGGTCGGCCTTTAAATATCAACTGCTTGTGCCGTAACTCCCTTGATACCAATTAATTGGATGATCTCTTGACAATTTTTAAGACTGACATGATGGTGAAACCAGGTGATACATGTAATTTCTAATCATGTGACTAAAATCAGATGTTATCTGTCTAGAGTGCTCCTCAACTCAAGAGCTTCAAAATCGTCTTTGTGAATGACACAAACGACGAAATAGGAAATTCTTCAGAACTTTGGAAAAGCATGAAAATAGAGCCGAAGCATTTTGATACCATGATTTTTTTTTTTCTTTATAGAGGTTCATTCTGAGATTACTATTTTCACTTTAAACCATTTTAGCACTCGAATGCGTTCTTGATACCCTGCATTTCAACATCATTACTATACTGTACTGTAGAATTCAATATACTATAACTACATAATTTTATCACATTACAATAAGTTAGACTAACAACAAAAACAAAATTAAATTAATATTGTTCATACTACGATTTCTCAACTACGGACATCCTACCTGTAGGCCTAGAAGTATATAAAACCATGATAAAACAAGCTTCTGGTCTACACAGGTCACAGTGCATGATTTGAGTGTAGACTCTAACTACTTGTATAAATACACCTTTAGGCTGAAAGTATTTAATAATGCTATAAAATTACTGATCGTGAGTGTAAACAAGAGAATGTTATCGAAGGAAAGTGGATAATTATCTTTTTATTGTTTATATATCGATCACTGCACTAAAAATACTATCTCTAAACAAAATAAACATTAGAACTGATAGCTAGTCGTGTACATTCAACAAAGATGTAGGCCTACGATAAGGCTAGCATTTATGATCTGACCACCCAGTTCTTTAAAAATTACCGTACCCCTCCCACGCAATGGAATGTTTCCAGTTTCAAGTTTTAAAAAATCGTGGAATTTGCAGGATTGAATTAAGAGGACCAATGGCGTAGGAATCTCGAAATGGGGGAAAGGGCGAATTTGGGTTGGGTGGGGGCTGTCTCTTATACACATCTTCAGTTCAGGTATTCATTTATTTGTATGGGGAAAATATAATATAGGGAGGGCGTAGCTCGCAAAATAAGGTGATATGATTATGAGGTGATTATCTACTTGAGCGTGATTTTTTGGTTTCAATAGGCATAGCTTTCTTTGGGGAGTTAAAAAAGAAGGGCTACAAAGTACAAAAGCCAGAGGAAAATAAGTCTGCTGACGATTTTTAATTTGATAGTTCAACATCTCTTAAAATCTGGTAAATAAAAAGTCTAAAAAATAAAATAAAAGGTCAAGGCCTACACTGTAAGTTAAAACTACAGTACATATATTTTTATAATAAATAAATAAAAAAAAAAAAATTAAAAAAAATAAAAAAACAATACCAAGATTCATTTATATATTTAATCCGGATAGGCCTCATGCCAGATAATTCAATGGCGTAGGGCTAAATATGATTGAGTTAGGCCAAGCGGTTTAAAAGCAACCTACATCCATGGGCGCCGCAACCCACATCCACTGGCGCTGGTTCGGTCGACATGCTCGCCTACAAAAAATATCCTCAGAGAGTAACAAAGTGACCGTCTTTATGGTTTATAATTATGAATAATAGACATATTTTTAAGGAAAGTAGGCCTAACTTACCCACCTTTGAGAGTCTGAAAGATCTTAAATACACTTACTTCCATAAAAAAAATGTTTCTTTACTGGAAACACCCCTCCCGCTTTCGCCGCCACTGGTTTATTTATATCTCATGTCTTTTACAGCATAGAATAGTATAGTCCATTACAACTTGGCTAGGTCAATGTAGTGAATAAAAGAATTTAATTGCTTTTGTTATGATTTATAAAGAAATAATCAATTTTGATAATTCAGGACAAGGTTAAAGACACATTTAAAAGTAAGTTAGGTAAAAGTTAGTTTATTGGATACTTAGCAAAGAACGTGTGCTCTACATAAACGAATGGAACAGTCTCATATTAACCTTTGACATAAAAACAATCGTCAAAGGGTTTGCCCATACGCGAAGAAAAAAGGTACCTCTAGAATATGGCTGATAGAAAACATAAGCCTAGTGCCGTTGAGCGACCTTTAAGTAAGGGAAAGGCAGAGGTAAGAAACAAGTCATTCATCAGAACTCTTTTTATTGAACATCCATAATATACAAACACTTCTAAATTGTTTATTCTAACCTAGGCTTAGCTAGTGACTGTAAACTATCTTCACACGCACTCACTCAAGTTATTTGCTCGCATGGACGTATCGTCGATTTGTAGGCCTAGCTAGGGCCTAGACATTTGGTCAGAGTGATCTCTTTGATTATTTTTGTTGTAATATATACACTCTATTCGATAGAGAAAATTTATATCGTATGGTATATAGTCCTATGTTAGTTAATAATAATATGTTAATTGTGTTTGCATATTATCTATTGTTATTTTTTTAAAGATCAACATAAATTCATTTGCTCTGCTATTCTCCGAGATGATCCAGTACTGTCAAAATCGTGTAGGATCTGTCCCTGAATTACAAAACAAGTAAGTGCATAATGTGCCACTACCAGGTTTACCTGATATTACTTAACTTACTCTAGCAAAACAGAATATACTTAACTTAAGAAGAGGGTGGGTTGAACGTTTATTTAACACTTCAGTTTATGATACTCAAATTTTATTTCTAATATTGATAGTTATTAAATAATAATGATAATGAATCTGTTAGTATTACTAATGAAATTAATAATGGCAAAACAACTACAATATAATTATAATATTAATGTGATATTAATAATTATAAATTATAATAATCTTTCAGGCTCTCAGAACTTGGACAGCATGTTGGTGTTCGTATTTTAGAATTGTTGTTTATTAGGGAAAGAAACTTGAAAAGAGAGATCAAGCTTTTGAATATTCTCTTATTTAATATATATATATGTATGTATATATGTATATATATGTATGTGTATGTATATATATATATATATATATATATATATATGTATATGTATGTGTGTGTGTGTGTATTTGTAATCTTTTATTTAATATCCTTGATGGACATTTCTATAATCTACATATAGAAATATAATACATTTATTATAGAATTTTTTAAAAAAATTTTAACATTTATTTTTTTATTTGATAATAATAATGTTAAATTTCCTTTCCATCTTAGAGTACTGTATAGATTTATTTATTTCTGTTGTTTGTATAATATTTCACTGTAAGAGGGCTGCTATGATTTGTATCACTGAAAGTGCCACAATCTGAAAAACATAATGAAATTAAATCTAATGTTTTATTTTTATCATTTCAGACACTATTTGGCAAAGAAGCAGATAAATTAGAGCATGCAAATGATGATGAAAGAACTTGTATCTTTTTCTTCTTATTAATCCTCTTATTAACTTTCTAATTTTTTGTATGTAGGCAATGTAATTTAATTTTAATTTATTTAATTTTAAGTCTATGATATGTATAGTACAACACATAACATAAACAATTATTTTATTAAATGTTTATGCACCATGGTGAACATTCCTGTTGTGCATGTACAGTAATTAATTTTTTTTTAAAATCCTTATTGAATAAAATATATTCTTTTGGAGAAAAGTGAATTAAAGAGATTATTTGAAGAACCTAGCCCAAGCAATGGCAATGGCATGAACCTGTTGGTTGCCCTTGAAATTTAATGTTGCACATGGACACAAACATTGACCTTTACTAATTTTTTTAATGGATTAAATGTTTCATAGCTTCTGTAATTTTTTCCTTACTATGCTCCACAGATTACATAATTGAGAAAGAATCACTTGTAAATAAATTCATATCTGTTCCAAAAGATAAAGGTAAGAGTAAAGATACAGGTGAGATAACCTACGAAATGGAGGAAATCTTGATACATTTTGTTTCCTATTACTTCCAATGAACCTTTTATTTCTCTGCCTCTTACCTTAGAATGAACCCCCCCCCCCCAACATTTAAAAAATATGACTATATTAAATTTATTTAAAGTTCATTTAAAGTCAAAGTATCTCTGAAATAAGGGTTAGCTATGCTGTTGATCATATTGTTTTTGTATTATTTTGGCATTTGATCCTTTTTTTTATATTCTTTATTCTTTAATTTGCTGTTCCACACAAATTTATGGTGATAGACAATCCTTAATATTGTGGTCTAAAAACATAATTTTGAGCCATTCTAAACCAAAATAATCTCTCCCCATGAAACCCAGAAAGGATTTTATTCTGAGACCCTGACCAAGGCTTCAGTTTGGACCTCTGTCGGACATATTGGATTCGTCAGTAAATATTTGGAGCCACCACTAGTGATCAAACCATGCAAAATTTGAACAGTGTCAACAATCCCACTTAAAATCCACTGAGACACGTTGCCTTGCTATGTTTCACGCTTGCCTGCTTTTCCTTTGCCATATTATAGACTGCTTCCTCGCTTATTCCCCAGATATTTGAAGTGTGGGTCATGACCTAAACTAGAGCTGCCAAGATATTTTATATAGTGTTGCTGGAAGAATTATGGACTGTAATTTTTAATAGCTGCATAACATATCTGTGCATCTTCTTTTGAGTTGACCTTGATTTTCTGCACTTGTTTATGTCAACATGTATTTTTTAATCAGGCCTCAAATTCTGGTGACTTTAACAGTGTTAAATTTCTACACACAAGTGGATGTATACTTTTGTACATCCCTAGAAAGCTCTGAAACAACAGTAACTTTGAAGTTGCAGGTATTATCGGCCAGCAACACCATAGTATAATCATAGGAGAATTATTATTTTCTATATTCTTTTCTAAGAATCCGTTTATTTAGTATTTTAGTATTAGTATTTTTATTATGGTGGTTGATTTATTGTGTACTGTATTATTCCAAAAATCTTGAATTGATGTGTTTTATGATCTGGTACTTGGAAATCCTTTATGTTTAGAAAAGATGTGGTAGTGTCACCTTACTTATCTTTTGTTTTTATCTGCATTTTGCAGTCTGTTCCTTCAATCAAATTTCGTTTCTGTATTTTACTATTAGAATTTTTTTTAATTTTTTTTATGGCGGTTGATTTATTGTGTGTTATTCCAAAAAATCTTGAATTGGTGTGTTTTATGATCTGGTTCTTGGAAATCCTTTGTGTTTAAAAAATTCCTTATCTTTTATTGTATACCATGAGACTGTTGAAATAGTCAACTTTATCGGGATTTTGAGGTATATTCCTTTAATCAGTTTTCATTTCAGTTTACACTGTTTAGTACCAATTATTGCCCCAAAAAGGCCGGTATACATACTTTGTAAATTAAGCCTCACATAAGGCTTAGTACTGGATATATTATTTAAACACAAGAATAATTCCAGGTTTTTGACAGGAGTTGAACTTAGGACCATGGAATTGAAAGCCAAGCACTTAATGAGATACTGCTCTATATAATCTCTACAAAAGCTCTACAAAAATACAAAGCCCTAATAACTGGCTGCATAATAAATTTCCAAACAAAACATCGATTTGAAAAAGAAAGTATTTTCTCCATTTTTTGTACAGTATTATGAAAATAATAATTAATATTGACCAGATAATTGTGTTTTTGTGCTTATGATTTTAAAAAGTGGTTTTTCTTTTTAGGCAGTCTGAATTGTGCATCATTTACAGCAGGAATAGTTGAAGCTATTTTATCTGGATCCAATTTTGTAAGTACAGTACTATAAGTTAACCTTTTTTATACCTTGTTTTGTGAACTTATTTTTTTTAAAGAGGGCGGAAAAAAATTTAATATAAAATTTTGTTTTCTTATTTTGCAAATGGTTTTACCAAAAACATCCAGACGGAGAAAATAAAAAAAAAAGTTATTGAATATAAATAGTGTAGTAATGGGGTGGTTAAATGCTTTTAATTTATATATTTAGGAAGAAATATACATTTCTTATTTTTGTAGATTTCAAGGCAGCGGATGGGGTAATTAAAATAAAGAAAAACTTTTATTTTTTTCTGAAATTTCCAGTTTTTTGTGGCGACTGGTGCACTAACTGGCCAAAAATAAAATTTTATTTTTATTGGAAATCATTGTTATCGGTGGGCAGTGGGTTCACGAAACAAGGTCTAAAAAAAGTCTTGCCTTAGGCCCAATAAAAAAATTATTAGTTTATCACCCCTGCGCGTATGTCTTCTATGGTACTGGAACATTTTTTTTTTTTTTTTTTTTTTTTTTTGAACAAAATTTTTTTTTTTTTCATTTATTTTATTAAATAGTTAGTAGATATTATTTGCATTATCTAAATCATGTTTTACTTTGAATATCAATGCACCAGCAAACAACCCAAGGGTGATATTTGGCTTTAGCAAAATAAAAAATGTTAAAAAGAAGCCTCCCTCCCTCATCACTTTTCCTGCCCAGATAGGATGATAAACTAATAATATTTTTTATAGGGCCCAATATAAATGGTACAAATGAACATGATACCTTATCCTTGTCCATACATTTTCAACAGGAAATATGATATTTAAAATGTATTGATTTTATCAATAATTTAACTTGTAGGTGTCACTGCTAATTAATAGATAATAAAACACAAGGTATGTAAACTATATTGTCTCTGAAAAAAATACAATGATAACGTAATTAAAATGCATGATAAAGTATTTTTTAATTATGAAAACTATGCTATATTACTCAAGTGTCTATTGCCTTACTACATTAGGTTTCAATTAAAGTTCTTGTACAGTGGGCAAACTTTTTAGGACATTATATCAATAAATAACAGGTGCTGTAAAGAACCTGTTTCCATATTTTATTTTTTAAATGAAGTGTTACAAGAATTAAGCTGACACTTAGATGTTGTTGTCTCACAGCTATTTAATGTTGGTTGTTGGATCAAGGAATCTATGGAAGTTGCATAGCTTAGGGAATTATCCGGATATCTTCACTTCATTTATTACTCCAGTTTCAACCGTCTGTCCCCATGTATTTTCCAAGTGTCTGGTTTTGTGCTACTTTTATCCAAGTGCCTGGTTTGTGCTACTTTTATTTAATTGCCTGGTTTTGTACTTCTGTTATCCAAGTGCCTGGTTTGTGCTACTTTTATCCAAGTGCCTGGTTTTGTGCTACTTTTATTTATAAATGCTTGGTTTTTACTGTCTCTTATACACATCTAGATGTGTATAAGAGACAGTATCACCAACGCGCATGTCTTCTATGGTACTGGACAAATTTTTTTTTTTTTTTACTTTTTTGAAAAAAAAAATATTTTTTTTAAATAATATTTTTTTTTATTTGGCTTTAGCAAAATAAAAAATTTTAAAAAAAAGCCTCCCTCCCTCATCTCTTTTCCTGGCCAGATAGGGTGATAAACTAATAATATTTTTTATAGGGCCCAATATAAATGGTACAAATGAATATGATACCTTATCCTTGTCCATACAATATGATATTTCAAATGTATTGATTTTATCAATAATTTAACTTATAGGTGTCATTGCTAATTAATAGATAATAAAACACAAGGTATGTAAACTATATTGTCTCTGAAAAAAATACAATGATAACGTAATTATAATGCATGATAAAGTATTTTTTAATTATGAAAACTATGCTAGATTACTCAAGTGTCTATTGCCTTACTACATTAGGATTCAATTAAAATTCTTGTACAGTGGGCAAACTTTTTAGGACATTATATCAATAAATAACAGGTGCTGTAAAGAACCTGTTTCCATATTTTATTTTTTAAATGAAGTGTTACAAGAATTAAGCTGACACTTAGATGTTGTTGTCTCACAGCTATTTAATGTTGGTTGTTGGATCAAGGAATCTATGGAAGTTGCATAGCTTAGGGAATTATCCGGATATCTTCACTTCATTTATTACTCCAGTTTCAACCGTCTGTCCCCATGTATTTTCCAAGTGTCTGGTTTTGTGCTACTTTTATCCAAGTGCCTGGTTTGTGCTACTTTTATTTAATTGCCTGGTTTTGTACTTCTGTTATCCAAGTGCCTGGTTTGTGCTACTTTTATCCAAGTGCCTGGTTTTGTGCTACTTTTATTTATAAATGCTTGGTTTTGTGCTACTTCTATCCAAGTGCCTGGTTTTGGGGAATTCGATTGAACAAACTTTGGAAAAATGTGACTTGAGGTTTGTGTAAGCTGAGCCATTGAGCATTGGAGAGATTCCTTGGCAGTGAGGCATTGTACATTCATTGCCTCACCGTTTCTTTCCTAATCTTTCTCCTTACACCTGGCATATTTCCTCTCCGGAGATTCTTCTGATCAGGGATGCCCTTTTACACATTTTTCCTGTTAATGGTTTCAGAAACTGCAGGTGAAATTTATACAGTACATGGTCGCACCAGATGTAATCTATCTGTAGTTTAAAGCTGTGTGTACATATGATTTTCAGATTATTCAATTTCCAAGCTTCACCCAAATCATGAACATATGAACGGTAATGAGATCTTTCAATGTTGTTTTTGCGTGGTAAGAAATGGATGTAAAACAAATTGTTTCAATGTTCTTGATTTCCCCGAGTGGGGATAGGTGGGTGATTGACTGTAAAGTCAGTACTGTAGTGATTATGGTGGTATGGCATTTTATTTGTCATTCTTGTATTTTATTGATGGGCTTTGGTCAGAGGGAGAATGTTGAGCTAATGTGATTAAATGCAATATATTTAGTACAGCAAAAAGGAACTCTACATCTACGTTAGAAACAAGTTTTATTTATTACAGTATTAGATTTGAAGTTATTTTATTAAACTGTACAGTAGAGTGATTAAGCCAAGGATAAGCCACAAGGGTTTTGAAGACTCAATACTGGTAAGAGTGCTTAGGGGAGGACCGAGCTCTCCGACAGGGGGACTCGGCCTGATAGGCCCGAGCTGGGGGAAGGGTTTGAGTGGGGTTCCTCCTCCCAAATGAGTTTTTTTAAGAATAGGAACCTCTGGATGGCCAGAAATGACACTCTCTGATTGTGATAGATGTGTTGGCTTGGCGTGGGCCTGTTTTTATATATTTTTTAGTCCCACTGCCCGACGAGCTCTGTTCAACGGGGGGCTTAACAGTTTTTAATAGCTCTGATGATGTATGACCAAACAAGTTACATGATGCATTTAACCAAACTAGTTACATGATGAATAAATAACTCTTCGTCTGATATCAGAAGCAGTGACAGGAAATATACCAAGGCAATTTTTCTTTAACCTGAACACTTGTACTTTTAATTTGTAGGTGAAATTTTTTCTGTTGAAATTGCAACCTTCACTCCTCCCTGAAGATCATGATCATGCCTAGAATAGTGCAGCTAATTCAGCACAAACCAAGTCCCATTCTAAATTATCAACATCTTTAATCAGGCACCCAACTGTTTCATACTTCCTACTATTTCTTTCCTGATTTGAAGCCTTATTTTCAGTGGGTTTTTTTTCATGGCAAGGGGTTGGGGATGGGGTGGACTAGAACAACAGGGTAACACCCTACTATTGTTGAAGGATATCCTGGGTTAATTTATTTAATGTACACAGAAGACAGATGTGTATAGTGGGCATGGTTGGAATCACTGTTTCTGTTAAAATGAGAAATCCCATCTTCCTATGCAAGTTAACGAAGGCAAGAGGTACAGAAAAATTGAAAGGAAGAATGAAATTGCAGGAAACAAAAGTGTAATAGTTGATATGGCTTCTTGACAATTTTTGAAAGAAAACAAATGATGAAGAATTTCTGCCTAGATTCAAAAAGGAATTACAGTATATTGAATCTAGAGAGGATAACATAGTTATTGGAAGAAGTAGATGGATTTCTTTTTTTCTTTCTTTCTTATTAATGAAGACTTGGACTTTGAAAATACATTGATACTTATTTACTTTTATACAGGGATGCCTTATGTCTACCTTAGCATATTCATACATAATAATAAGTTACCTATTTTTGTTTTGCAGCCCTGCAAAGTAACAGCACACTGGCATAAAGGAACAACATTTATGATCAAGTTTGACGATTCAGTTATTGCAAGAGACAAGATTCTAGAGCAGCGATAGTAGGACTGTTTTCATGAAAGAAGTTTAATTTCACAATTAGATTGTATTTTATCAATTGTAAGTTGCGTCTTGTACACCATTTTTTGCTAAATTTGACTGGCAACTGCCGCTGGGGGACTTCCGGAGGATTAGGTATTTTGCGCAACGTAGTTACCGTGTGTGCGCAGCATGCTCCATTTGTTACTAGCTACTGTAGCTGCTCAATCTAGACTAGGCTGCTGGAAGTCTCCCACTGAGTTGGGATACGTTGGCGGCACTGTTTCAAGACGGGATAAAATGATGTATACTAATCAAGAATTTTGAAGTATAATTTTATGTTGATGAGTATAACTGATACACAGATGTTAACACATTGGCTGCCATATGATTGGATGACAAAGTGTTTATGGGCACCAACAAGTGTTCTTCCATTGGAAGTAAAGACAACAAGCATCTCAACATATTTTTGAGAATTTTACATACCTTTCTCAAGTCTGGTTTCCATAAATATCGCTACACGCTATCGCCACCTCTTTTGGCGACGCTGATTGGTCAGGGAACGTTCCTAATTGATTCAGGCACAGCTACGCAGTGCAAGGATTGCAGTGGAAATGCTGTTGCGACTGTGTAGCGATTTTATGGAAACCAGGCATAAGTTGTCACTATAGTACTTTGTGTACAGTTGTGGCCTGCAATTGCCGCTAAGTATCATATAAAATATAATAGAATAGCATATAACCAGTGGCATAACAGCTATGAATGAGCTTTACTGGCTAAAGCCAAGGGCCCTATGAAGTTATTAATATACTATTACTGTACTACATAATTAATATAAATTATATTATATATATCAGGACCCAAAGCTGCTTTCGTTATGCCACTGCATTCAGTAGTACAAGTATATTCATCCTCAGCCCATCTTTAACACTCGGTTAGGACGAGTATTTTCGTCCATGGCAGCGAAAATATGTCCTGTGAGGATCAAGGAACATTTTATATCACTTTTGATTATGTAAAAATGGGAGGGGCAAGTTTATGTTTTCTCATTACACATTGTATAGTATTGTAGCAAATTTTGAAGTCCAAGTGCGAGCTATTTTGGAGTGTATCACCATGCTGTGTGGAGTGCTCATGCACAAAATGTTACATTGTACTTGTCAGTATATTGTCAGTACTTTTTTTAAACCTGGGCTCCTACTGCGTCGTGCGACCGTTGACTCCAGCTCCCTGCAAGCGCATGACGATGCCACGCCATCTGCTCGTTGTTGGAAGTCTTAAACGAATTGTCAAAAAGTTGGATATGATGCGCACATGTCATGGCATTGTTCTTAGAATCACTGCGCAGTGACACTATCTTGTTGCCACTGTTGTGTATAATCATGAAGGTACAAAATATTTTTAATTTTTTATACCCACATGGTAAAACATAATATGCGCTTTAAGTATCTGCTGGTGATCCCTTAATCATAAAGATTGTATTATTACATTTTGGATAAATAGTACGTAATAAATGAAGAAAAAAAAACATTTACTTATATTTCAGTTTCATTTATTCTACCAAATACATACTACAAGACATGCTTCTACAACAAAAACAGCTGCTTCATAGAATATACAATATATTCACTTAAAAGATTTCAACAATATCATGGAATGTGAAAATATATGTATTTCAGGAGTTATATACTGTTTAATTTTGATTATGTTCATTACATCATTATGTAAATAATAATTGTAAGAGCATCACTATAATATATACTGTATCTCTTTTGATGGTTTCATTTGCAATTGCTTACAATGTTTCCCTATATTCAATAAATTGGTCTGTCTCATAAAGTAAAATAAAATTTAAAAATATACTGTTGGGTAAAATGTGAAAAGCACCTAATAATTTCGCTTAAAACTCATTGACTTGCTTATTTGAAAGATCAAGTAGTCTACAGGTACCTTGAGTTGATTATTTAATAATATTAATGGTAGACTAATTCGTCTTGAGTTCCCACAACAGTGGTGGCATCAGGATTTGCCCGACGGAGTGGCTGATTTCCGTGACAAAAAAGTGGACGTTGTCGGGCGTCGCTCAAAATCTCCCAAAAGTATTCCATGGGGGCGAATACGACAATTTATGAGTTTTAAAGGTTTATTTAATCGATTTTGGGTCTACTAATATGCAGAAATACATTTACATTATTTTTTTCTCCCCAACGAATTTTGGTTTTTCTCACCGACTGGGGCCACAATCATCATGTTGATTATCACGGGACCGTAAGACTTAAATAGCACATCAAGCTAAGCACCTCTATAGGCTTTACATTATCATTACCCTCGGCATTAGATTAACACCTATGTAACACAAACTCAGCTCCATGGGGAAGTATTTACTAAAGCTGCGCAATTGGTACCAGGTACTGACTTACTCCTGGGCGAGGAGTATGCAGATAAGGCAAAACTTTTTTTTATTGTTTAGTGAACCCGCTACTTGCTAATACTGATTTTAAATAAAAGTAAAATTAAATTTTTGGCAAATTAGCATACCGCCGCTACGAAAAATGGACATACCAGAAAAATATAAAAGTTTTTCTTTATTTTTATTATGCCAGCCACTGCCTTGAAATGGAAATAAGATATGTATATTGCTTCCCAATTATAAATTTAAAGCATTTAACCATCATATTACTGCACTGTTTACATTCACCAACAACATTTTATTTTTTACTCCGTCTGGATGTTTTTGGCAAAACTATTTGCTAAATAAGAAAACAATTTTTTCCCCCGCTCTCTGACGATCTTTAAAAAAAAGTTTGTAAAACAAGGCTTAAAAAAGTTTTGCCTAATGTACCTTGCTCAAGGAGCACCAAACTACTTCCACATGCATTTGTCACCATAACTGTCTATTTCTTCTTCTAAATTTCAATATTAAATAAACTTGCACATATCAATCTCTCTCGTGGTGCCATTTTTCCACCAGTAAAGGGCAGGTTTTCTTACATTATTTTATTTTGTTTTTTCAAATTTTAAATTATTGTTTAGGTATTGTTTAAGTTATTAGCCGAAGATAGACAAGCAGTGGCAGTTTCAATCAGTTGAGGAACAATGCGCCTTTGCTGTATGGCACTTTTTTTGAATGGAAAAATGATAATTGAGATATATCACTAAACAAAAAAACATAGTATTAAACTGAATCCATATAAACATGCATCTGAAGTGTTCATAAATAATATTAAATGTCTCCACAACCCTCAGTGGCAAAACAAGAGCACTTCCCACAGTTCCAGTGCAACCAATTTTAGTTCCTGGACCGGTAACTATTTGGGTCCTTGAAGTATATATTTAAACAGAAACAACTCACAATGTTTACTGGATGTTAAAATACTAATCAATTTCATGGTAATTATTTTAGCTGTACAGTATTTGATAAGGTACAATAGCAATACAGCATAGGAACCAATAGAGGAACGTAACTAAAATTGAAGATAAATATATTTCATCCACATACCGTACTCGCAAGAATAAGCTTCCGGGCTCTTACAATATTTTTGGCTCTTTTTGAAAACAGAGTGGAAATTGAGGGGGCGCTTATGGAAATAGATGAAAATGGAAGGGGTGCTTATGGGAAACTGGAAAATTCAAGGGGCACTATTTTTTTAATCGAAGGTAAACAAATGGTTTTGGTGAAGAAAAGATACTCGTTGAGAGAGCATGACAAGAATGTTGGGGGTATTTACACAACAGCAGATGAAATTAGTGGTGGTGGTGGTAAGCGGGTTCGCGCAAGTACGGTAATTTATAACAATGTTAATAGAATAAAATAAAATATGCTCAAAGAATATTTAACCCAATATAAAAATATATAATATAATGATAATTATTTATTCTAACATACACCTTCATGTGTGTTCACAAAGAGCAAAATATACAAACTTAACAAAAGCACAATAAATAAAAGCATATATTAACTAATATCTTTAGAAACCTACAAGACAGTGTAATTGTTCAAATGTTTAAAAAAATTATATTGTGAGCCATGCTAGGCCAATTAGTCTATATAAAAATCAACTATTTAAACATGTTTTCATTTACAAAATAAAAAAGATTGGAATTTATAACAATGTTAATAGAATAAAATAAAATATTAAAAGTATACGAAATAAAAATAAAATAAATGAAGTACTACAATATAAAGGGGAATATGAATACTTAATGGATATATCAATGCTCATAGAATATTTAATTCAATATAAAAATATATAATATAATGATAATTATTTTTTCTAACATACACCTTCAGGGGCGGATCCAGAGATATCCAAAAGGTGGGGCCGAAATTTGGGCCGATCGACACAACAATGCCCTAGGGGTTACGGGGGCATGCCCCCGCGAAATTTTTGTGTTCTAGACAACCAAAAATAACATTTGAGGTGTTGTGGGCTATCATTTTTTTCTTTTTTTACCTCCCAAAAGGGGGTTGGGGCCAGGCCGGACACCCCCTAAATCCACCCCTGACCTTCATGTGTGTTCACAAAGAGCAAAATATACAAACTTAACAAAAGCACTATAAATAAAAGCATATATTAACTAATATCTTTAGAAACATACAAGACTGTGTAATTGTTCAAATGTTCAAAAAAACTATATTGCTAGGCCAATTAGTCTATATAAAAATCAACTATTTAAACATGTTTTCACTTACAAAATAAAAAAGATTAAAACAGTACATAGATATTGGCTAATTTGTCAACATTATGGGAAAATTACTGGTAAATTGGTCAATTTACATGCATAAAAAGAGTTGTAAATGACAGTGCTATGTAATTGTGGCATGTTTAGTATATCTGTCACTTTTGCTGCGTAGTACCGTAGACATTGAAAGTACTGAGCACTGTAATTGTTATCATAGGTTGATCTACTGCCTATTTATACAAATGTTTATTAAATCTTAATAAATATGTAGCTAAAAAAAATATGTAGAAATGTGTTATTTTTAAAATTGAAAGTACCCCTACACAATTCTTGTGCGTTAAAGACACATATTGCAGACATGTATGTAGTGCAGTAATTTATTTAAGTTACTTATCGGTAACATATCTTTACATAATGGAACTTTCTAGAGTGTTAATCAAACTAAATTGACCAATCAAAAGAGGGACAGATGTTCTGTTGGACCTTAGCAACAGTATCCAAGAGGTGGGCTTATCAGAAAGGTCATTTAGAGCATTTGAAAAGGGCAAGACACACATAGCCACCAATTTACATGCATAAAAAGTTGTAAATGACAGTTATTTTATACAATGCTATGTAATTGTGGCATGTTTAGTATATACCTATGTCACTTTTGCTGCGTAGTACCGTAGACATTGAAAGCACTGAGCACTGTAATTGTTATCATAGGTTGATCTACTGCCTATTTATACAAAGGCTTCAAGATATTTCAGTTTTGGGATAAAATAGCAGGTCTCCTGAAGGCTTGGAAATAAGACAAATTCAGAGTCAAAATAGAAATACTGTACATCAAATCCAGTGGTGTATCCCCTCCCCACTCCCTCCACTTCAAGATTCCTAGATACGCTCACTGATGAAATTAATATTCCAGTTCTTTACACATTGCACAATTAAGTCATAAAATAGTAACAGACAGCCCCTGTGGTGGACGACGAGTGGTACCAAAATTATTTACATGATTGAACCCAACCAAAATTTTTGGTCATTACAGAAGATACCGGAGAGAACAGCAGCTTAAAACAAATAACTCCAATCTGCCATCTGGAACAACCTGTCCTGAAATCTGAGGAACTTTCAAACGTAGACTAAATTCTGCAAATCTAAAGCCCCGTCAAGTATACCAAATTTTATTTGAGAAAAACAAAATTTGATATTGTGGATAAAGCTTAACAATATTTCAGACTACAATAAAAGCAACAAGTCATATTGCTGCTCACACTACGCAACAACTTCTCTAGTCGAACAAAACAATCAGCAATGGAAAAAAACCATAAAATTGGACAAAACTTTTTGATGGTCATGCGATACTGATTACCTTACGGGAGAAAAGATAATTCTAATGCAAAATATTTTGCCAAGATAAAAACCATCACAAATTTGTCACACTATGAGAAACCAAAAAGTAAGCAACTGCTTAACATCTTCTGAAATATGCTTGTGTACTGTATATTAAAGTGCCCCCCTTCAATTCAAGACCACTTTGGGACCTGAAAATTTGAGGTGGTCGTGGATTTGGTCTTCACTTGTAGGGTTAGATTTGTGCTAAAAGATCAAAGAATATTATTTGGTTCTTTGAAAAAGTGGTGTCAAATTAGATTTAACGGTCTTGAATTAGAGGGTGCACTTTATTTAACTTGCAGTTCTACCGTCCAACTAAAACAAAAGAAATGTGATGGAATTGAACCAGGAATTTAAGTGAGCTGCTGCAAAAAAAATCATGTAAAACTACTACTACAGTACTATGAAATAGTAATACAGGCCTACTGTAGCTCATCTATACAGCATAAATTACAATTAGATCTGAGTAAATACTAAGGGCTATGTTCTCACACGGCAGCTAACGGTTAGCAGGATCCAGATCTTGCTAACCGTTAGCTGCCGTGCGTCCATACGGGAAAATCCCGATCCGGATACCAAGATATGATGATCGAATCACTGGCCAATAAAAAACTGGAAATTGTAAACGCGTTCGTGTAAATTGGTTGATGATAGAAATGCGCTCACTTGCTAACCATTAGCGGTATCCAGATACCGCTAACCGATCAAGCGTTCTCACACAGGTGCTAACAGTTAGCGCTAACGGTTAGCTCCCGATCCGGATACTAGGTCTCTCGTAAGAACCAGGCTGACAAAAACAAATAAAAGGGCATGAGAACCATCAGGGTTCTTGATAGACTTGCCACAAGTCTCTTATTTTTTATTATTTTTCTCATTCTGGACAGCGCCACGAGTATGGGACGACAATTAAATTAGGTATGGCGTGCACTAAGTGCAATAAAGAGTGAGTAACCCAAAAGTAGGGCCTGTAACCCAGGCTAAGTTCTTGAAAGCGAGCACTATTTAACAGTGGATAACATCACTTGTCAAAAATAAGCTATAACCATTCCCATCAATATTCTTCAACACATAGAATTGGATCAGGAAGTGAGCTGCTGCAAAAAATAATGCAATACTACTACTACTACTGCTGCTGCTGCTACTGTTGCTACTACTACTACTACTACTACTACTACTAATCATAATAATAATAATAATAATAATAATAATAATAATAATAATAATAATAATAATAATAATAATAATAATGGATAACATCACTTGTCAAAAATAAGCTATAACCATTCCCATCAATATTCTTCAACACATAGAATTGGATCAGGAAGTGAGCTGCTGCAAAAAATAATGCAATACTACTACTACTGCTGCTGCTGCTGCTGCTACTGCTACTACTACTAATACTACTACTACTAATCATAATAATAATAATAATAATAATAATAATAATAATAATAAGTCAGACTTTAAGGAAATATCTTTTGTTATTTTTTCCCTTAATGATGTCGTTTTTTTAATTGTTCTCTAATTTCTCCATTGTCTAAGTTCCACTTAATGTAGTAACATAATAATAATAATAATAACAATAACAATAATAATAATATACTGTAATTTATTTAAATTGAGTAAAATACGAAGAAAAAAATAAATAAATGGCAATGATGTCGTTTTTTTAATTGTTCTCTAATTTCTCCATTGTCTAAGTTCCAATTAATGTAGTAACATAATAATAATAATAATAACAATAACAATAATAATAATATACTGTAATTTATTTAAATTGAGTAAAATACGAAGAAAAAAATAAATAAATGGCAATGATGTCGTTTTTTTAATTGTTCTCTAATTTCTCCATTGTCTAACTTCTTAAGGTAGTAACAGAATAATAAAAATAATAATAATAATAATAATAATAATAATAATAATAATAATAATATACTATACTATAATTTATTTAAACTAAGTAAATATGAAGAAAAAAATAAATGAATGGCAAGAGAAGCATCAGGACTTTTGAAAATGAGCACCATTTAGCGGTGGATAACTGAGCTTGTCAAAAATAAACTACAGCCATTCCTCTCAATATTTTTCAACACACAGATAAGGATTAACTGCATTGTCACAGCTACATTTGACACTGTACCGAGATAGTCCTTACCTGCTGGATGTTGTGTACAGTATACAAGCAGAAGCAGAAGCATATACTGTATATGAAGCAGATACTGAACCGTATTTTATTTTTTGCGTATACAATAAAAAAAGAAAGAACTACTCTAGAACATCTATTCTGGACTACTAAAACTCCTTAAGGGTATATAGCCATTTTCAACAGAGCTTGAACTATCAACTTCTTTGCCATGTGGGGTTTTATGATTTTGTGAAGATGATTGGGTAGGCTGTGATGGTCTGTTGCAACCTTGTTCAGAATCCCTTGAGGGTACTGGTGAATGAGTGTGATGCAAGGGTAATGAATGTGGCGGAGGTTTTCTAGATGATGATCCCGCCATGTGATTAGTAGAGTTGCATGGCACCTGACGTGATGTACCATTCGGTTTCATGTATGTGGTGTTGTTTGACTTTTTATGCAATGGTAAATTTGCAGTTTGAATACATCCATTGCTTTTCTGTTGTCTCCTAAGATTAAATCCTTTTGGAGACAACCTTGATTCAGCTAGATGAGTAACTGGTTGACCAGCTCTTGTACCACCATTAACTAAAGAGCCTGTTAGTGTGCCAGAAGAAACTGGTCTTGTACATGGACCACCAGGACCTTGATGTGATCCTTTCATAGGTTTTCCTGCTGTATCCGGTGAGGATCCCGGAGGACCATCATAGAAAGATGGCATCATTGCTGAAGGGATGTAGCCAGAACTTGCTGCACTTAAAGTTGTCTGGTTATCAACTTTATCAACATGCAAAGCACTTGCAGATTTCACATTTCCTTTCAGACTGTTTATATTTGGATTGGTGAAAAGATTTGGAGAGCTGTTGGAGGCACCTCTTGTGTGTTGCTGCAACTGTAAATGATCTACATAACTACTAACATTCTTGGTCTTACTTGCATTATTTGATGGCACACTGGGTCTTGGTAGATTTATGTTCCTCCCATCGACATACCCACCAATATCTGGTGTGACAAGAGGAGGCTGCATGTTCTTAGGGGCACTGTCACTGAACTGATTGCGACTTCCAGGAAAGAATGTTCTTATCACATAATCGTTAATATGGTCATCACTTGTAGTGTGTGCTTCCTGCATACATGCAGGCGAATGTTGTGCACTGTTGTTCATTAACATGTACCCATTTTCAGAAGAATTATTATTTTCCATTAGACTTTCACATAAGATATCTGGCATACTCCTTGATGGTGATAACTCGGTTCTTTTAGTTTGACCTGATGATGTGTCTCTACTATTGAACCCGCTTGTATCAAGGGATCCCATAGAGTTGCTAATACAATGCTGTGGGGAACATTTTGTTATTGAGCACTTAGCATAAGGACCACATGAATCATTTTTACGTTGTGGTGATTTTAAGCGACATTTTTCTCTATTCTTTGATTGGTCAAGACCGCTGTCATCAAATATATTGGTTGGGGGAAGTTCCACCTGCTTCACAATGAGTGGATGAATTGGATCAGATGAGCTGAATGAAATCAAGTTTTCTTGATCTGCTTCAGGGGGTTGTTGGCACTTGAGGTCATCAAACATCTCATGTTCCTCAATGGTGTTATAATTATCATCTCTAATATTGAACTGAAAGAAAAGAAATGTTAATACTTAGTAACTTACTAAAAAATCTCTTTAAAGCACCAGGGGTTTAACTTCTGGAACCACATTAGGGTTTCCCTCATGGACCCTATATAGTGACCCCAGAGGCTTCTGTTTGGTATTGTCTGACCACATGTCAGAGAATTTTGCACTGGACCATCCACTGGACCAGACCACCATCCAGACACTGAGCCAACTGAGGAAAACTATGTTTGGCAATAGCACCTGTGCGGTACTTTCCTTGCCCAAGTTCCCAGGACACAACCTCACAATATCTCTTGAGAAATATCAGAGACATCACCAATACTAACGTATTATTGATACCTATATACATATTTTAGACACTCATCAACATTTGTTGATAATGCTTCAAAGACTGTCACTCCAAATACAAAAATAACATACGTTATATGTCGATAAATCAAGGAAGTTTGGTTCAGGATACGGCTGCATACACTCTGCCTTCTTTAGTTTATTCCATGAAAGGAATCCAATAGAGAATAGAATGATGATGCTGAATGCTAAAATCACGACGATAATCACCACATCTATATAGTAAAATGTAAACCAGGAAAACCTTGAGAAAAATCAATGTCTAACAGGTTAGTCAAGATGTGCAATTCCCCTTTCCCCATTCACATTTCTATACTACACCTATTTTAAATTTTAAATTTTTTATTTTATTATTTTAGCATTTATTTTGCAGAGCAGCAGGTCATGTCAGTGAAATACAACTTTGCTGCTCCCTGAAATTATCTTGAATTTAGGTGTATTTTTAGAAAAAGGGATGAGAATAGAAAAGTGAAGTGGATAGTGCAAACAGATGGAACTATGAGGATAATCTAATGGACCGATAGCTGATGTGATACCCGTAAATTGAATTAATTTACTGTTTTTTAGTTAAGTAAGAGTAGTTAACGGCAGAAAAAGTTTGTAAAAACTGTTTGATTTGGTGATTAAATAATTGATACCTGGAATATGTTCTCAGACAGCATTGTAGAGCACAGCTTGAAGAAGTCTTATGACAACCTATCACATCTACATTTAACTCACATAGGCCCCATGCGACAATAAATTGTATCAGGCTGTGTCGTAAGATGCTGTCTGAGTTTGCCTTAATGTGATCCCACAATGGATATTGGCTGACCTCTTACCATAAGAGTAGCTTGCAGCCTTGATGAACAGCATCGTCTGGGTAGAATTGTCAACAGAATTAGCAGCTGTGATATTCACATAGTAACTCATATCCTTCTGTAGACCTTAGAATATTCAAAAATATATTACTATTATTAGTACCGGTGTTACCTGCATTCAAAAGTTACCTTGTATTACAATCATTAAAATAGTTAATAAGTACTTTTCAGTGGCAGATCCTCGAATTCACAATAGGGGGAGGGGGCAGGGGATGGAGTGTTACAGACGCTGGGTCAAGACTACCCCACCATGGTTGGGGCTGTGGATATGGCAATGACAGATGGCTGGGTATTGCACTCTAATACTTAAAATTGAATGAAATTTTCCCCCCATCACTTATTTTTCAAAAAATCAGAGGGCCTGTTCCGGTCACCCTGCTCCCTTAAAGCAGCCTTTGAGTTTTGAAAAGCAAGGTCAATATTTTTTCATTCCAATTTTCAATTGAAATTATTAATTAATAATTAATAAATGAATAATAATTAATAATTAATTAATAATTAGTATTATTATTAATTATTATTAATATATGCAAATTGTACAAATTGAATAAAAAATTTTATTCAACACAAATTGTTAAATATATTATTATTATCAAATGTTTATAAGATTTTCTTACCTTTAAATGTGAACTCGGTTTCATTGGCAGCTTCTGACGTTGATCGTAAGACACCATGGCTACTATTTTGTAGAATAAGATAATATGCTAAGATAATTCCGTTGGAATATTTCTTCTCCAAGTGCTAATGGAAAGAACATTGTATAATTCATAATATTTATTATATTAATCCAGTTACATAATTAAAGCATTGTCAACTTTTTTTTTTATTGTTGTTTCAATTAAAATCCAGTATATTATTTATTCTCACTAATGCTCTAATAGTAACCCACTATTAAAAGTTCATCTACAATACTCACCTACTACTTTCATACTAAAGGTAGGAGAGTAACCCATAACTCGCAGCGTCAATGTACTCAATTGCGTATGGGTGTCGTCCGTGAATACCTAGCGACCGTAAAGAGGCGCTTACAGTTGCTACATGTTCACATCATTCCACATACTAATCATATGAGCTTCTATACTAAATTATTTATTGACAATGATCTCTTTATCACCAGCCTTTGTTATGAGAAATATAATATTGTATGGTCCAACTTATTATTCTTTTTAAATGTTCAGTCACCCAAACCAAGGCCAAGGACCACTCGCGGTAAGGGGTTAGGATAGTTAAAAAGAAAATGGTTGACACAAGATTTAAAATATGCAAGATGAAAGAAAACTAGAAATCAATCAGCAAGCAAAGTACTCCAAAGAGAAGAGAAGCTGAACGAAAAAATGAATTTGAAAATGTGGAAGTTCTGCATTTAGTATGTTTGCCAAATCAAAGCAAATCTGGTGTTTGTGGAAAACCTATGAACAGATGGCATAAGTTGAAAAAGCCCCTCAGAGCAACGACGATTAAAATAACGAAAAAGTAAACAAAAACGAGCAACATTGTGCCTATGAGCCAAAGGTTATAACCTACTACTACCAAGATCTGGTCCAATCAGATGGATAACTGCAAGCATTCACATAAAATTAGTATTTAGCATTATCCTGGGTTGCTGCAACCTTGGGGTCTCCTGCTCCTTGTCAATGAAACCATTAAACAGCATTTGACCACTTGGATACTTCAGTTCAATTTCGGATATTTTACAAGATTTAGTTACATCTTTAGTAAACCAGTACAGTATTAGTACTGTACACTACTTATCTAGGTATGCCTTTTAGCTGTACTTTACATTTACATCGCATGATGTGACACCTAAAACCGCCAATAAAACTTATGGTGAAAGATCATTTACACTTTGGAACAAACTTCCAGTACACATCAAAAACGTTGACTCTGTTGAATCATTTAAAACATTTTTAAAAACTCACCTTTTTTTGACCGTTTAATTTTTGCAGGATGTTTATTGTGGGTTTTCAGGTGTGGTCTCGCCTTTTCCTTACTCAAGGAGATGTGTATAAGAGACAGGCATTGTAGAGCACAGCTTGAAGCAGTCTTATGACAACCTATCACATCTACATTTAACTCACATAGGCCCCATGCGACAATAAATTGTATCAGGCTGTGTCGTAAGATGCTGTCTGAGTTTGCCTTAATGTGAGCCCACAATGGATATTGGCTGACCTCTTACCATAAGAGTAGCTTGCAGCCTTGATGAACAGCATCGTCTGGGTAGAATTGTCAACAGAATTAGCAGCTGTGATATTCACATAGTAACTCATATCCTTCTGTAGACCTTAGAATATTCAAAAATATATTACTATTATTAGTACCGGTGTTACCTGCATTCAAAAGTTACCTTGTATTACAATCATTAAAATAGTTAATAAGTACTTTTCAGTGGCAGATCCTGGAATTCACAATAGGGGGAGGGGGCAGGGGATGGAGTGTTACAGACGCTGGGTCAAGACTACCCCACCATGGTTGGGGCTGTGGATATGGCAATGACAGGTGGCTGGGTATTGCACTCTAATACTTAAAATTGAATGAAATTTTCCCCCCATCACTTATTTTTCAAAAAATCAGAGGGCCTGTTCCAGTCGCCCTGCTCCCTTAAAGCAGCTTTTGAGTTTTGAAAAGCAAGGTCAATATTTTTTCATTCCAATTTTCAATTGAAATTATTAATTAAGTAAATGAAACCATTAAACAGCATTTGACCACTTGGATACTTCAGTTCAATTTCGGATATTTTACAAGATTTCCAGACACACAACGAAAGAGGTTAGTTACTATTTTCTACTATGTTAGTTACATCTTTAGTAAACCAGTACAGTATTAGTACTGTACACTACTTATCTAGGTATGCCTTTTAGCTGTACTTAATTACATTTACATCGCATGATGTGACACCTAAAACCGCCAATAAAACTTATGGTGAAAGATCATTTACACTTTGGAACAAACTTCCAGTACACATCAAAAACGTTGACTCTGTTGAATCATTTAAAACATTTTTAAAAACTCACCTTTTTTTGACCGTTTAATTTTTGCAGGATGTTTATTGTGGGTTTTCAGGTGTGGTCTCACCTTTTCCTTACTCAAGGTAATGTCGTTGTCTCGGCAGCGCATGGTAGTGGAACCGCAGGCTTATCCTGTGGTGGAAAGTGCCGGAGCCCAGCATCCTGCCTTTTGTGGATTACCTGCGTGTAAATTGCCTGATTGAGACAATGACATTACTTTGACATCGGTGGGTGAGACCACTTGAATGTCACCATCTCCTGCATTGCTGCTTTATGTTGTTGTTAAGCGCCTAGAGGTTATTAACATTAGGCGCTATATAAATATTGATTAGTAGTACTATTATGATAATCATATAAATATCACATGAGCACATGCAACTTTACTTTAAACTCCTAGCTCACCTTCCAGCGTATGGTGATACTTCTTGTATTACCTTTGTCGTAAGTCTCGAAAGTAGCATCAACTTGTCTCTCTGGCTCTAAATCATTTAAAAGAAATTCATGTAATAATTTAAATCAAAAAGTATTCTTCCTTTGTAACATAAATATAGAACAGAAAAATTAAAGATTAATATTTTTCAAGATTATATATTAATAACACATACAGTCCTAATAATAAAACATTATCCGGGCACAGGGGCGGATGCAGGGGTTTTGCATTAGTTGCCTTGATTACATGTCATCAAAAAAAAAATATAGGCCTATATAAAATTAAGAAAACACCCAACTTATAAAACGTATTCAATTTCACTATAACAATAGATTTGTGATTTTACCTTGTACTGTATTGTTTACGGCCAATTTGATGCTAGGAGGTTCAAGCCTACTTTATTATTTTCAAGACTGTTAATAAATCATAGGCCAGACAGGGCCTACCTTACAATTTAGACTGTATACGGTATTATGTTTGGCCATTATGCCAATAATTATAGCTATCGGTAGATTTCCCGTTGGTTTATAATCTGGTGGTACTGGGGAGGAACAACTTCCTGCTCCACAACAAGACATCCATTTATAGAAGCCTTAAAGAAGAAAGCCTAAAAAAGTGGCCTAGATTGACACAAGACCAGCTGACTTTGGCTTTGAATATAGAAAAATTAAAACGCATTAATAGAGCATAAAATGTACACAGTGTTCAGGTAAAAATTTGTAAGTTTATGTAAGTATTATATTAATAGTTTAGGTCGTATTATTTGCTCAAGACTTAAATCAAAATCTTTTATGTTAATAAGTTATATAAATTTAGTGTTAAAGTATTACATTAAGAAATAGAATGAAGGAATAATAGCAGAGATACCCGGAGCGGCTCAAATTGGTACCGAAAATGATATAATATTTATAATTAGTAAATGTTAGCCACATATCATCAGAGGTCATGGCGCTGAGCCTATCACGTTACATAATTAAACATATACACTGTATAAAAATAGATCGGACGGCCGCAGAGGAGGAGGAATACTGCTACTTATTGATGCAAATATACAATCATAACGTCTCCATCAATACGAACAGGATGGTATGGAATGCATATTTATTGAGGTATCTCTTACAAGAAGAAAAAAATCATAATTGGACTTTGTGTACATGCCTCTGAATTTGAGCATTGGGAAGTTTAAACAACTTTATTGCACACTTAAAGCTGCTAATCTTATAACAAAATATTGTTGATAGGTGACTTCAACTTACCAGGCATCAAGTGTCAAGATATACGCCTCCCATGACGAATAACAACAATTTTTTATTGTCTCTATTTTAAACCATTCTGTTTATACCAGTGCAATTATTCAAAAAATCATGGTAATAACATACTAGATTTAATTGTAAGTAGTCAAAATTTTACTACATCCGTTTCATGTGAAAATTACATTTTTGACTCTGATCACAGTTCTATTTGCTTTTAACTTTTAATTTTCCAAATGTTTCATGGTCAGAATCAGATGAAAACAGATTACTATTTAACTACAAATAAATGGATAAAAATAATTTAATTAATACACTATCTCATGTGTCATGGGATACACTCAAATTGTGCAATAATTTTGACAAAGCAGTCAATAATTCTTATACCTTTATTTCAGCTGTAATTAAGGATGTTGTCCCAATGGTTAGACCAAGGTGCAATGGTTCGATGCTGAACTCCATTGCCACATTATATTTCCTTACTTTACGTTATTGTATTCTGTATGTTATTTTTCTAAACTTGTATTTCATTAGGGTCATTTATCATACTTTCTTTTCAAATTGTTTATATTTAGTTCAGTTTGTGTTTCTTTGTTAAAGGGGCAGTTTGCCCTTTAAGGTCAGAGAGATTCTTTTCTTTTTACATGTCCCTAACCAGCAGCAGGCCCAAACGGCTGACGGCTAACGGGTACGATATCGTGCAAAAGTATGTACCTGCTGTAGGTCTAATGTGTACACATATGACATATCTGGCTAACATTTAACAATTAAGAATTCATTTTCAATCTTTACTGCAGAAAATAACAAATTTTATATTGAGTAGGCCTACATTTTTTCTTTTAAACCGTCAATAAATCGCAAGAGTGTTGGGGACTCTAACTTGATGCACGCAGTGCCGTGCGTAACTATGGCATAGTCGGTTTTTTGTTTGATATCTCTTTGTGCGCCGACAATTTGTTAATAAAATATGCTGCGCATTGTCAGACGTAAGACTTTTTATAAGTTAAGTATCATGCATTACATGGTGAAGCAGCTTATTCTGAAAGTGCTCATCCACAGACAAGTGTCAATAAAATTCTTGTTGTCTGATCGTAAAAAAACACTTGTTCTGGGCGTCGGGCAAGTGGGTTCGCTCATGTCTGCGTATTTAGTGAATTAAATTGCACTGCTTGCAAAATTTTATTGTAATGATCTTCCAATACTGTACTGCTTTTAAAACTTTACATATAAAGTGTATATAATATTGTTATACAGTCGACTCCGCCTAAGTCGAATCTAATGGGACTGGCATAAAAAGATCGAGTTATACAGATTCGTGTACTCAATGCCCACAAAATCAAATTTCATGCAAAACCAAACATTTTTTTAAGTCCCAAAATTATTCCTATTCTTCTTTTAATAAAATACTTTCCTGAAAACATGAACTACCTATTCTGAATCTCGGACGATTTTTCCAATTCAGGACGGTAACACTCACTGGAAAAACCAGACGATAGTTAAATAGACATCGTTTAATGACCAGCATACCAAACACTGTGAAAACGAGACGCTTAGCTGTACTCGTATTGCCATGGAGATTATCTGTTGATTAACACGACACGCCAGTAGACGTTTTGTTGGTTAATTATGAAGTGAAATTTAGGTACACATTTCAATGTTTTAGTGTATATTCTTGCTTTTAATCCTTAAAAACCATTTGGAATCAACCTGAAATAAAGAAGGTACTCGACAAAGCAAGTTCCTACTGGTTACTCTTTTTAGTAGACGTCTAATTCAAATTCGTTAGATTCGTCAATGAAAATTGCAAATGCACCTCAAGATGCCTATTCAAAACATGTTGCTAATTTTAATTAAATAATTAAGAAATTTGTATTAAATATAATTTGTTAGGTTTATTTAGATTTGACTCTAAAATAATACCATGAGGGTTTCTTATTTGTTTTTTGCTTTGTTTTATAAAATTTATTTAACAAAACATTCTTGATTACACCGAGCGTGTTTACTGTCACGCACTATGAAACTTTGGGCGATCTGACGTCATCACAGCCGAAGCACTTGTCTATTAGATGCAAAACACCTCATGAAAATGGACCAATTGGCGGGCAGGCAGAGTTTTTGGGGGCGCGAGCTATTGTTTATTAGTGCATAGTGTCATAACTGTGTACCAAATACCCTTTCACTAGGCCTAGTCAAACGAATCCAATGCTTTGATAAATTAATTAAATAGCTAGGCCCAGACTACAACATAAGAAATTACATTGCAGTCAAAAAGTGGGGTAAACCAACCCACTTAAAAATGTTTGGGGGGGGGGGAAGGGAACATGTCACCATTTCCCCATGGCATGCGCAATATTTTACTACCTTAAAATCTACTGAATATTTTTGAAGTGCGGACAGTGGCATGATTTGACTAAAATCCATAGATATACCATTCGTCTTGCACAAAATTAATCCAATGCAAACACAGATTTTATTTACTTAACTGGTATATTTTTTCAGTTGCTAAGATATACGACTTTGGCAGACTCGACTGTACTTACTTGCTTCATCAGTGGTATAATATGCAGATTCTGACCAATTGCTAAAGTTGACATACTGTCTAGCTCTCACTTGTGCCATGTACTTAACAAACGGCTCCATATGGTATGATGAAAAACGATATTGTGTGTCTTCTTCAATATCCTTTTCTGCCGGTAACTATGAAGAGCATCAAAATCCAGTTACCATATGCACAACATTATGTCTAATGTTTCAAATAGTAATAAGGAACCCCTATTATTTGTATGTATATAAATGTTAATTAACAATCACAATTGAATGAGGTTGAAGACTGAATCAATAATATTAATTGTTGTTGGACCAGGTGGGTAGTAGATTGTGTATTTTTATAGTAAGAATGTATGGTATTTATTGTTAACCGGAAATAAATAAAACAAAATGAGTATCTTTTAAATTTTTGTGATCAATATTAATTCATCTATGACAAATATTTATGATTTGCCCTTATATGTATGGGTAGGATGGAATTATCACACCCATAAATGGGCTTATCACACAAATATGTCATATCTAATTAGTAAAACAAAATGAGTGCCTTTCTTTGTGATCAATATTAATTCATCTATGACAAATATTTATGATTTTGCCCTAATATCAATAAGTAGGATATGGCATTATCACACCCATAAATGGGCTATAACACAAATATGTCATACTTTAATTTACCTCTTCCCATACACTATTGCTGACAGCCTTGTAACGAACTTTGTATTTCAGCATATGGGCATTATAATCAAAATAGCCCAGAGGATAATTCCAACTAAGAAGCAATTCTCCATTCTTATTCTTCATAAATTTAACACCAGTAGGGGGGTAAGGAATTCCTGCATACAAAATTAGAAATATATTAAGATACAAATTATTATTATTATTAATTACATCTATACATATTTCTCCTGATGCAAATCCAGTTATTGTCTATTTCATCACGACAATAATAATTACTATCAACACTGTAGTACCCGCTGCTTACTTGGACTTGAATTCAACCCTGGCCATCAGGTGCAAGCTTGGTGGTCTAGAGGTATGATGCCATGCTAGTGATCTGGAGATCGTGGGTTTGAGTCTCACACGAGAACAACTTGCGATTTTTTCCCCAATTGTTTTCAAACATACTGAGTATTCAGTACATTTCCACGTAAGGTAGGGCAAATTACACCTATACAATAATAATAATAATAATAATAATACAGTAATAAAAATAATAATAATAATAATATAATAGCAATAATAACAATAGCAATTCAATCAAAAATACTATAAATATCTGAAAATAAAACCTACTTATTAATATTAAATAACAATATACCATACAATACAATAATGTTATTCCATCAAAGTTCATTTAAAACCAGTTTATTACATTTGCATACATTTACTTGACTGATCTGCTTGGGCTGGGGTAAGTTTTTTTGTTTTGATTTTTATTGTTACAACTTGTACCCGCTTTCTTTATTTGTGTGTTTTTCTGTTTATATCCTGTTATTGGCATTTGATTGCTTTTCATTTCATTTTATTTATTCGTCTCAAAATACAATTCACATAAAATATCATACACAAAAAAGACGGAGAGACAGGAAATCCAAAAAGAGAACTAAATCAACTGTCAAGTGGATTACCTGTTGGTTGTGGTTTTCGAAATAAAGAAATTAATAAAGAAATAGGATTTAGAGAGGTATGTTAAGTGGAGAATTTTTATATATATTTGAACAAACCCCCTTTCTCCTACTGGCGCTGCCACTGTTGCTTCCACTGTTGCTATCAAGGCAGTGGCATATCTAGAAGTCTTGAATTGGGGGACTGATGGGGTGCGAAGGTGAAGTGGAGGGGCTTGATGATCAGTTAAGGGGTGCTAATTCGCAAAATATGGTGATTTTTAACTACTTGACCGTGATTTTTTTTTGGGGGGGGGGAGTGGGAGAAGGCGCGAGTAATTTTTTTTTAGGAGGGGCGTGTGCCCCGCGCCCTCCCCTAGATACACCACTGTATCAAGGTAAATGTCATACTGCTAGACACAGAGACCTAGGCATAGGCACAGATATCATACCAGAGTGTACTCTTTCTCTCATACACCTAACTTTTATGCAGGCGTCACTTTGAAGCCTGGACCCACCCTCCTCAAGTCATCACCTTTCTTCACCTGAACAAATTATTCATAATGTCATGATTTCACCATCACTTCACTTGCTTCACCAAAAATATAGGCAAAGCATCACTCTATCTGAAAATCTGTTCAGATTTAACCCTTTGACTTTTTTTCATAGGGTGAAGCTTCACATTTTAAGTTCTTGGTAGCTCTGAAGGTTCACCACTGTTTCATCATACTGGCCATTTGCATAGTTCAAGCTTCATCACTGTTTCACAATATTGGCCATTTGCATAGTTCAAGCTTCACCTTTCAAAAGCTTCACCAATGGTTACTTATTACTAGATCTGTCTCTTATACACATCTCTACTCAAAAAGTATGAAGTCAACCAGGTTTGAGATAGATACGGTGACATATTTTTATTTTTATAAAACTTTAATAAAAAAATCGATTTGTGGAAAAGGAGTTAGTTTAGTTTGGTTGGGTCATGAAAGGGAGGCAATCAGTAATTTTCCTGGTTATTTGATTGAAAATTAAATAGCAATAATAGTCACAAAAGAAATGTTATATACTAATGAACATTATATATTTTTTATTACATTTCAAATTTAATTTCTCTGTTGGCCTAAATAATTTTTTGGTTGGCTGAAACATCCCGTTACTCAACAATTATATTATGACAACATGCATACAAATCCCCAGGCATACACGACTTCGTCGTGGGTGTCAGTGTCACTGAAAAAAAAAAAAAAAAAAAAGAGCGTTCACAAAAACGTCACTAGCTTCATGCAACTTACTGTCAATAAAATATGTCATTTTGAGTCTATCCAATTTCAAGTAAATAACCAAAATAAAATGCCCATAGAATGTTCGTATTTCGATGGGTCGACAAATTGGATAAAAATAATAGTATTTTCACTTACCAGAATTCTGACATTACGCCCCATGTTTATGACAACAACGCACATGTTCCGTATTTTATCTTGAATCTGTTTTACGGAATTTCGTCTTATGACGAAATGCTTCATTTAATTATTATATATTATTTTTAATTTGTATGCATTATAATACCAACATGTCAATTTATTTCACTATAATATTGCAATATTATGTTCTATAAAGTTAGTTAATGTAAAAAAAACACCTTCATCCCAGAATGGATCCATTCTAGTTGTTGCAGGGAAGCGTCATTGAGGAGAGGAAGACCTCGTTTTGACTTTTGACCAGTCTTCAATTCTGGTCAAATATGTCGAAAAGTCTGTAAATATTCATAATATAATAAGCCTGTGTATATAATAATAATAACCCAGGCTCAGTTTTTTCAGCAATCTATTATTAATTAATCAAAAATTACTTACTATTCTGCCATATATTTTATTTATTTGGAACGAGATGGTTTTGAGACGAAGTAACCGAGGTCAGCACATACTACTGGCCTAAGCATGCGCTGCGCAGGTTGCCGACACGCTTCATGATTTCGTAGTAAACTTGGCCACCGAGCCGCGTGTAGCCTGAACGAAAACGAAACACATTGCCGTTCACGATAGTTGTTTGAAAACAATAACCCACAATGATTTCCACATTTTTTCGACATGACTGATGTAGTGGATTCGATGTCACATCACCATAAAACACAAATTATTCGTCAAAGCTTCACACCACCCCCCCACCTGTCTCTTATACACATCTAGATGTGTATAAGAGACAGCACCAAGGTACAGCTCCAGTCTCCATCAACATTGCAGGATTTGAACCCAGGATCCTACAGTAGGATTGCAAGGCAAGCATCTTAACATTGCAGGATTTTAACCCAGGACCATGATTGATTGATTGATTGATCGAACAATCTTTAATATCATAATTCAATGTTGTATGACAAATAAAATGTAAAGCACTCTCCACATTATCATATTTTATGACATATATGGGCATGATGTTGTCATATTATACCCAAATATGGGCATATTACATTTATTTGTCAGATGAAATTTGATAGTGTGGACATTACTTTACAAAATGTATGTGATACTCACTGATATAATTAAATGTCAAACTCTTTGTAACAGCCACACTTCCTAGAACATTGTAACTTAAAATGGTGAGACTGCATGTAGTTGCAGAATTTAGGCGGTCGTCCAAATTGCATGTGCTATTAGTTACCTTGCCAATTACTGTTGCACCTCTGTATAAAAAAATTGTGAAAATTTATATCAAGCAAACAGAATAGAACTGCAAGAGGCCCGCCCTCAGAATTTCGTTGGAACATAATCCTATTTCAAAAAGTACTACCACAAAATAGAGGGCGCCCTTCAAAAGGCATGTTTCAAACTTTATTAGAATTCTAATAGGGCACCCCTATCTTGTAGTGGTACTTTTTAAACATTTCATTGTGTACATACAAAATCAAGGCAGTTGGACCCCTGCAATTCTATACTGTTTGATATGTTCTAGATATACCCCTCTTGAAACATGATATGATAATCCCCTAATTGCGTTCGATGCCAAGTTAGAGCCAGATAAACAGCCAGCAGTTTCAGGCTGTTGATGTCACACGGTGGAAAGGCTTGTTTAATAAAACATCTACTGTATTTTACGAACCTGTACTACCAAGTGGTATTCGTTCAAAAAAATTGTAAACTACTGTAGAGAAGGTGTGAGTTTCCACTACCTAACCTAGCCAACCAGTACCAACCAACGACAGTGCAGCAGCGTGTTCTATCGCAATCTAAGTAGTAGATTCTCTAGGCCCTAGCTAAATTTACCTTCGATAAAAAACGAATTATTTTAATCGCTAGGTAGCATTCTTCCATTTAACAAAATATTTTTTTAATTTTCATTAAAACGTCTGTATACTTTATGGACCTTTCTGTCCTGTTTTGTAGTTTTTAGATCGCTCAAATGTGTTGTTTACATGCACTTCGCGAAAATCTGGCTTCGCGGTGTCAAATAAGTTGCTGACTTCCACACACTTTTTTATTTCGTCATCGTAAACATGTGCGCTCATTTTAACGACTGACGTTGGTGGTAGTTCGTTGAAACTGAATTAATAGCGAAATGGAAAAGATTGAATTGTCAATAAATAAATACAACAAATCTGATTTTATTATTAACGTTATTACTTGGTCGATGATGCAAAGGGCAAAGGTCATTGGTAATATCGACTATTCGTAAAACGGACTTTTGCTGGGTTTTCACCCATAATATTACAAATAATTTCTGAAAACCAGACTAATGAGACTACTCCGATGCTGTTGTTAGAATTGTTGGAGTAAGTTGTTGCCAGCCAGAATATCATAATGGTGGTACAATACAACAACGCTGGCTTAGATGCCTACGTTACGTAATCGTGTCCTTGTAATCCGAGCCGACTTTACCGTTAAGCAAGTTAATTTACCGTTATTCTAGTAAAGTTAAGTCACTTAACTTAAGCTGTCTCTTATACACATCTAGATTATCTAGCTATAATTGAGTGGTTCACGTCGAACTTTTAACTAGTTAAGTGGATGTATATCTAGATAAAAGTTCAACGTGAACCAGGCTATTGTATCAAGTAAAAGTGTTAATCATTATCATTTATTATTGCTATTATTATAATAATAATAATAATATAGAAATTTATATAGCGCCTTTTGCCAAAGGATACAAGGCGCTTAGAAAATGTTTATTGTATCAATGCTAGTCTATAAAAAGAAACCAAAAAGAAAAACTTACTGATAATTTTCATAACAAGTGCAATTATAGTTGGTTTGTAGATTATTTTCTGAATTAGGAATCGGTGACCACTCGCATCTATTCTCACCTTGGTAATGTGAATAACAATGCAAGTTCTCAACTTTAGGAGGAATATCTGAAAACCAGAAAACAGGATGACATCACATCAAATACATGCTGACAGAATTGTGCATCGCTGACACAACGTTAGTCTAGTGCGAGGTGTGGAAAGACACCCTCGCTTACACCCAGCTCTCCCTCGCGCTAACCTGGAAACAAATTTGCATCTGCCCTGTTGTGTAG